CCCAACATGGCACCTCTTATACCTCACTTCAGGCCCTTACAGGAGAAATGCCACTAAATCTACGCAGGGAACATCTAAGCCTTAATTTCTGGGCCGCGTCCCAAACAAACCCTCTCATCCAAAACCTAATTAACCAAAACATTAGCCCAAGAAACCAAGCTCTAGCTCGCAAACACCCCTTACTCACCCCAATATCCCAAAGAATAACTAACTACCTCAATGAACACCAAACTCAAAATCTTAAACAAAACTGCAAAAAATCAAATATCTTCACCCCTAAACTCAAAATACCCCAAATAGACACAACGCTAACTAACCAAATAAATAAACAAACCGACCCAAACATAGCTAAAACCACCACACTTTCATACACGAAAATTGGCCAAATTGGTGTCACATATACATTGACGGATCTTCAGACCCGATCTCCAACCACACAGGTTTCGGAGTCCATACCACACAACCAGTTATATCCACACAATCTTACCGACTCCCTAACAACCAATCTATATTCACGGCCGAACTTATGGGCATGGCCTCAGCCCTGCATAACCAACAATCAAAAAACAAAACAAAAATCCTAATTCTCACTGACTCGCTTAGTGGGCTACAAGCCCTCCAAAACAAAAATACCAAAAAACGACCTAAATTAATAAACCAAATACTTAAAAGCTCCAACGACCTAACAAAAGCAGGCAAACAAATAACCTTCTTGTGGATCCCCGCCCACGTAGGAATTTACGGCAACGAAAGCGCCGATAAAGCAGCTAAATTATCCCTCAAAATACCAGAAATAAGCCTAAACCTACCCATCTCAAAATCAGAAATTAAAAGTGTAAACAAACAAAAAATAACCAAAAAATGGCATAATCAATATCAAAACTCAAATAGCCAAATCCAAAAAGTGCTCAGAAAACCACTAGCCAAACCTAAAATCCTACACCCCTCTAAAAAAATTGACAGATTAATTACAAAACTCCAAACAGGACACACGAACCTAAATAACCACCTAAAACAACTTAAAAGACACACCACAGGCAACTGCCCCCACTGCAAACAACCCGAAACCACAGAACACGCACTCATCCACTGCACCCACTACCAAACACACAGAACCACACTACAAACCAACCTCAATCTAAATAATGTTCCTACTCTAGATGAAATACTAAACCCTCAAAATAAACTAGAAAACTTCAAGGCCCTAGGCGTATTCCTAATCAAAACAGGCCTAATCAAGCGCATCTAAAAACTAATTAATCTACCAATCCAAAATCCAATAAACATACATACACCCACCTCACCCGGCTCCCTTAGTTCCCTCCTCCACCCACCTCGGCATTGATTCCAAATTTTAAAATTTCAAAAAATCGATATAAGCAACCCCTAAAAGCCCCCTCTTGTGTTGCACACACCACTTTCACCCTTCTCGGAATACACTAAATGGTCTGGCCAGGCCCGTGTGCGAAATACGCTGCAGTCGGAAAGCGCACGTTAAATCTTCTATATCAGTCAGTCAGTCAGACATCGGGCGGATCAGACATTCCAACCCACGATCTGTGCACCCTGGCATAGCTAAAGGACGCAAATCTGCACAGGGAAATTCGGTCCTTTGACAACTGCGTCATTCCTGCCCCTCTAAATGTGAGAGTGTTGTATTGTTGTCGTAAACACATATCTTACAATATCTAATTGTGTCTACGTGTGGATATAGTAGTTTTATCCAGTTAACTATATGCATACAAAAGTAGAGAAGGTATGTCATGTGAGACTGTAGGTTATGATCAGATACGGTTTTTACTACATGTATAAGAAATTGAACCCGCATTATACGTAAAGGTTGTATTTGGTCTCCAAGTATAAGCTTGACAAGTTCAGATTGCTGCAGTGTATCAATTGTTCCCCACCATATAATGTAATATGCAGAGGGAGGTAGTGTAAGCAATGGGAGGAGAGAATTGGTGTAAAGTACAAATCGGTTGTTATTCAATGTTGTTATTAATCTTTGGAAAGCAAAATAAAATCACAAGTGTCTTTAAATGGATAGCACAAGGACAACCAATACCACAGCTGAAAGATACACATATCTAGGTACACAACTTCATAAAAATGAAAAGTTCAAAAGTTGTATCCTGTTACTCACAAGGAAAGCCACGGGTACTTACCACTGATTAATACATTAGGTTTTACATGATGATATCCCGGTAAAGTTAGCAATAATATTGTTAAAACCCTTATAGAACCAATAATACAATACAGTTGTGAAGTTTGGGGTGTAGATTTTGCAATGTTCAAAATATTGATACACTTCTTCCAGAAAGACTGCAGCTTCAGTTTTGTAAATCGTACAAGGCCCGTCAAGCAGAACTTGCAGAATAATTAAAAAAAATATCAATCTTTCTGCTAAAAAATGTTGGCTGGGTTAAATAAAACAAACTTTTAAAATAGTAAACACAAATGAATGTGATGAATCCACTGTATATAAACTTCAGTCAAAATGTCAAAATATGTTCAAGAATTCATGAAGGGATTCCCATATATACAACAGCAAGTTCAGAACATACAGGTTGGTCTAGTCACATATAAATATTGAGAATTATCTTACATATTGTACAAACAAAGCTCAAATGTCACATTTCTCAAAACTTCTTTTAAGTAATCACAAACTAAAAATTGTAAGCCGATTATATCGGATCATTGCATACTTTGGAAGTCATCGTATCATTGCATACCTTGGAAGTCATCTCAAACAATTTTGACACTTGCTAAGAATATTACGTCAGGGGACTTTAATCTCACTAACTCACCCATTTGAGGAGTCACAATAATTTGGGGGTTTTGAATTTAGAGCGTATGGTAATGGGACGTTTAAGGCTAAACAAATAAATGAGGGCGTTGAAAGTAGGGCACACTTGTCCCATGATATACAACAGGGTCGATTACACGCACCCTGAACGTACGTAGCTATATTTAGACAGTTGGGTTTCCCCAGCAATCCTCAGGAATCGACATTTCTCCACCAAGGGTGCGGCGAACAGTACAGCTGTCAGAAAGCAGGTATGTCTACGTATAACTTACATTTATTGACAAGAAATACATCGATAGTATGGTCTTTATTCCGCAAATGTTACTTGTTTGACATGTCATTAATTATTAGAAGGAAAGGATTTCAGTGTTCGCTGTATCACATTAGCCTACATGTATCTGGGGCGAGTGTGTTGTGTTGTGGTGGGTGGTGGATAGAGAAATAGTGGGTGTTACTTAGAAGGAACATGGTCTGTTATAGCCGTGAGGTATTGACGATGCATCCATGTTTCTCCGTCCTTATAGAGGAAGCAAATTACTTACAATTTCAACCTGCCTGAGATGGATATCTTGAAGAAAGTCATGACTAATTGTAATTTAGGGAGTTTATTATTGTTATGTGCTGTTTAAATGTCTGTCGTTGCTGTTTGTTGTTATTTGGTAAACGCCATGTTCCCCCACATTTGACAGTTATGAATTCTCCATTTAAAAACATAAATTTGCGTTTTCAAAATGTCTCAGTATTCATACAGAAATAGAGACAGTAAGTCATATGCGACTGTAGGTTATGATTAGGTACCTGTCTTCAGTATGCCACACCTCGGCTATAATTGTTACACGCATTATTGCCAATACACTCAGAAGGAATTGAACCCGGGTTTTCGACGTGAACACTTGCAACACTAGGCTACCTCTAGTTGTAACTCAACAATAAGCATTAAATTGAGGAGAGTACCAGCCCAATGTAGTGATATTGGTGGAATAGATCTGATGGGAATTTTTTAGTTTCAGTTACTGGTGTAGCGATCATTCTTTCCATTGCAACAGGAATTCTTGTTTTTTCTCCTTTCAAATTTGCTTCTGTGACTGGTGTTTGTGTAGGCGTTGCTGTTTCCCGCTGCTCCAGTATCGCAGAGAAATGTATGGGAAAGGCCATATTGAAAAAGATGGGCAAGTTCAGGCAGAAATCAGTCTGACATTATTCATAGCGATAACATCAACAATGAGGACATCCATCACTTATAGTAGAATGAGCGTTGGATTCTCCCGCCGAGCGCTGAAAAGATGTTCTAATCGTTCAACAAAGATGACATTATTTCATATATGTACCTTTGAAACATGCCCGCACGTGCGAGTGTAACCATAGTTACTAAGTGCCATAGTGCAACAAACATTGTATTAAAACAAGAGGACAAGAGAATTGAGTAAGGGCAAAATCAAAGGGAACTTCGTTGCTCAGCGATGGTCTAGGCCTCGGTGGCATGTAGTACTCCGAATGTAACGAAAAGGGAAATGATGTTATCCTTCCTCCTTTTGCTAAGCAGATTTTCAAATATTAACGAGCAACGTCTGGGATTATTGTTAAACAAATACACAATAAAGGCCAAAGATTGAGATCATCGTATGTATATATAGCATCGCGTTTTCTCGCGGTGATGTCTAGACATATGTCTGGTCACATGTGAGTCAGGGAATACCGCCTTTGTAAACAAACTACATGTACGCGGCTTGTCATTTAAAGGACTCGTCTTGCTATTCCATTTGTCTGCAAACCACTTTTGTCGTCTAAACTGAATAATCTTTTCTTTATCTGGATCTGGAGGATGGACCTGACACCCTATGTCAAAGATCTTTTCAAAATACACACTCAGCGTTTCCTTCACGGTTTCCATTCAACGGAATAAATGAGCTGGTGTTAAACGATTTCGTTTTCAATCTACCAACACTATTGTATTGCGATTATTATGTTAGGTTATTGAGTCATAACTGATTCATCTACTTTAAGTTTGCCATAACAGTGAAACAGTGCAAAACAGTGACCTTGAGAAATGCATTCGCGCGTTACGTGTAAGGTTGAGCTAAGAAACGGGGAGGTAGTCTGATTCTTCCACTGTCCCGTCTATATATAGCCATATATATATGGGTTTTTCCACTCTATTATTATATATTATTGGGTTTTACCCTGTATTATTAGATCTTACATCATTTTGAATTCCTTGCACCACCCAAGGAAATATACCCATACAGCCAGGCCAGTCACACTCAAGCAGTCAATATCATATTCGCTGAGGTAAGAGATGTACACGGTTCTTCTCATTATACATGTTAGTGTTATATAAACAATGATATACAATATCTTGATAGAGATTAAGATATTTCGAAAACATACATATTACAAATACTAAGTCATCTTCTCGAGGCAAGAGTGTCCACTAGCCTACATCAAAGTCTTAATCAAGACTAACAACTGCCATTCGTTTTGTTTTTATTGAGTTGTGAGTTACTTGTGACTGACTAGCGGTTATGCTGCATTCAACATTTAATCTTGTATTTCTTACGGATTATATTCATATTGCAAAACACAAGGCGAGTGATATTTTTTCACCATTTGAACAAAGGATAAACTCACCTGTCGAATTTACATGGCCACAGAAGATAAGATAAGATAATATAATAAAGAAACACTAATATGATTAAAACACATGCCTCATAGTTAACAAATGAACTGAACATGTTTTTCTCCATCCTGTAATCCCTTAAAACGATTGCCTTCGTTTCTCTGTCAGGATGACAACCCGAATGTTTTTTGTTATCTGATCTACCAGATCGTCTTCTATGGTAGTAGCCACCTGTCAATCTCATGAAGTCAGATCTCGCTACCGCTAAACAAAGATCTGAGGACATCCCATTACGGGTCACGTCACAACGACCTTTCGCCAACTTTTGCGACATATGAAATGACTGACAAGAAATCGACATTAGCCAGTCGGAAGGCTGCTTTCTCGAGCTATACGGTACTATATTATTTAACTGGCGACTTTCAGTGCACATTAAAGAATTTTGACAAAATTCTCGGTTAAAAATTTGAAAACTGAACAACAAACAGTACGGAATGTCTGATAGCTGAGATTGTATGGCAGTACATCCCAAGGGGGCGGTCGGGTAGCCTAGTGGTTAAAGCGTTCGCTCGCCACGCTGAAGACCCGGGTTCGATTCCCGACATGTGCACAACGTGTGAAGCTCATTTCTGGTGTCCCCCGCCTTGATATTGCTGGAATATTGCTAAAAGCGGAGTAAAACCATATTCACTCACTCACTCAGTACATCCCATGGGTTCTGCGAAGTCTTTTCGGTTCAATCGTTTATCCCACAAAAGAGATATAGACGAAGATTTTAACGGAATCGGCCATACAGACCGCATCTGTCGTTCGGGATAGCCCCTGTTAACCTTTTCGAGATTGCATGATGAGAAAAAAATTCCGACTTTCGCTTTCCTGATCATGGTAAACGACGCTCTGACTGGTCAGATGAAAAGTCGTTCTGGCGTGACCCGTAATGGGATGTCCTCAGATCTTCGTTTAGCGGTTTGGAGAACTGAGATCTGATTTTAATGAGATTGGGAAGCTATTCGAGAAACTATGATTATTATGTTAGATCATATTTTTTTCGGACCCGATGTCAAAACGTACTCTGCCATCTGATTCATAGAGATTTTTATAAGAACATCTGTGTCATACTGTTTTTTACGAAACGAGTGTCAGAATTCTTATATTTCCCCAGGAAGAGCATCTAAAATAATTGCACATATCAGCAACGCTGTCCTAGAAAAACACAATTTCACTGGAGCACATACGAGTTTTATGAACTCGGTTATTTCTAACCCTATGGGTAATATATCCCCTTTATTCACGCTTGCAAAACACTGATGTTGCGAAATTCATTCAAGCGCTGCATTTAAGGTTGAGGTAGGTCACGGGAAGGTAGTTGCCATAGCAACGATCGGATGCTTGTTTTCTGTATATTTTGCTTCATCAGTCGTTAACTAGTGACCAGTCATTTAATTACGTCATTGCATTTGGTCAAATGACCGTTCATTAACCTTATTAAGAGAGAGAGAGAGAATGTTTTTATCCAGGTCTCACCGGTTGAACAAAACATATAATTTTACTTGTATATACCACAAGGATGACAAAAGCCGGTCGATTTGTCTCAAAGTAGGGGTGGCCCAGTCGTCTAAGGCGATTCGCTGTGCAGAGTTGCGTTCCTTGGGCACGCCACAAACCTATGTTTGTGGGTTCGAATCCCGGTTCGCCCCGACTACGTTTCTAGGTTTGTCAGCACCATACCCGTGCCCCAGGGGTTTCACCGAAGTGGTGAACGTCCGAGACCTCCATCACTTCGGTCTTTCCTCTCACATTAAGCTGACACGCCGCGATGTAACTGGAATACTGATAAAAGCGGCGTTAAACCCAACTCAGTCACTCACTCACTCACTGTCTCAAAATAATTGCAACACACGCCTCCACACATTATCTTTTTATATGGGGCCGCCCGGTAAACTAGAATTTCTTCAAGCAAACGCATGTGTGTCAATACTGCAGCCAGGCTAACATATGGCAATCAAATCAACCTAATTGCATTACTAGGTGACACGTACCACAGTTCATTATTAATCCTGGCTTATGATATAAATTGTGCAGCAGCACCAAAATAACATAATTCAACCATGATTTTTGCAGTTAATCATATACTGAAAATTAAATTGACTTCATTCCCATAAGACCGACTTTAATGTCTTTTCGTTGCTGATAATAGTTGATAACTTCTTACCTGACTCAAGCACTTCATATGAAAAGTCAACATAATGAACTTTCTGATGCAGGTATTCAAAATGGAACACAGTGGCCCATCTGCAGAGATAAGAGATTATCTTGTGAGAAGATGGCATGACGATGGGCAGAAGGTTGTCAAATTGATTGAAGAATATATTGAAGCACTGAAACAGATGTCAAAGAACAATGCTAATAAACGACAAATGGCTAGTGGTTTAGGCATATTTGGAAGCGGGCTTACGTTGTTGGGCCTAGCATTGGCGCCCTTCACAGCAGGGGCATCTGCTGCTGCAGTCGCTGTTGTTGGATCCGGAGTTGCTACGGTTGGGGGGATTGCATACACAGGAGTTAATATTTTCGAAAAGAAAAACGAAAATAGTCGAGCTAAAGAGATTCGATCAAGGGTGATGAATTTCAGTGATGAGACTATATCCCTTATTCGCAGAATGCGTACAAACAAGACGCCAGACGATGACGGATTGTGCGGTTTACTGTCGAGCAGAAAGACAAATTACATTGGGGAGTTTATTCCATTTGCCGAACCCACAGTTGCATCATGTGCAACCGGTGCCTTTAGCAAAACATTTAAAAAGAATCCACCAACAAGCTACTTTGCAAGAGATGAGAAAGCCATAGAGGAAGTGTTTGGGTACAAAATGTCATCGACCCATTTTAATGGGATGATTGGAGTCGTTGGTGCACTTGCATCAGTTCACAGCATCTTCAAGCATTACGAACAGATAATTGATGATCAGAGAATCATAGATGAGGGAACCAACAGTGCATTTGTAACCCAGCTGTCCAAACAGAAAGAAAACATTCAGTGCCAACTGAATCGCGGACTGATGCGGATCGAACAATAATAATCAACCGCCAAACCCGAGAGATGGGAATTGATGTAGTTTAGCGTCGGAGTTACAAATATTCCAGCCAGGGCGTCGTTGCATTGCGCAAGGGCTGTTACGATCTTGAAGAAACATACTTTTTAATTTGCTGAACATTATCTGGAACTTGAATATAAACACAGCAGAATCTCCTGACAGGAACGGACCTGTAAACCTGACCTGTGCAAGACTGCAAGTTTAGAGCGGTTTTGTCGCGATCAATGAGATTATTGCAGTTGTTGCGTTGCTTTAAGTCACGATATGAACACGCAAGAATCGATTATGTTTACAAATACATTAAAAGTATTCTTTCAAACCTTAAAGATATATGAAGACATCTAAATACATCTTTAATTTGCACGAAAGGATACATGTATATATCCACTTTAGTAACAACTAAACTACTCTTATATACATATAAGTATCTAGCTTTCATCTGCTTTACTTTCTGATCCACAAACCTCTTCCTTTCCAAATCTAATGAACATGTAAATAGTTCTTCCACACATGTTCTATATGTATAGCTAAAACGTGTAAACTTTCCACCTTGCAAAATAAAAAAAGCAGCGCCTTTGTATATGTCAGTTCCCTTCTCCCTTGCATATATTCAAGGCTCTTTCAACCTCTTCTTTTCCATTGCAATACGCTACTGCACACCATATATTGGCAATAGAAGCTGATAATAAGATCCATAAATGAGTGAGATACTGTTATAACTTAACCCCATAATATGTCATGTGTAACTAGTTCTCCAGTGCTGGGCTGCCTTTATTGGTCCATTGATCTAGCAAGATATAACATTTATTCTAAGTTTTCCTATAAATATAGATCTGACCTTTGAGTCCTATTTTTTAAGTTTTTGTATTAGCCCGTCGTGCCATACCATGTCGAAAGCTTTAGAGAAGTCTAAGAAGATGCCTGTGGTATATTGTTTATTTAGTTGTCCTGTCTTAATATCTTGCACTAGTCGGGCGAGGTTATCTACGGTTGAGCGGCCAGGAGTGAAACCGCTTTGATCTGGGTTTATGATGTTATTTTGGGTTAGGTAAAGTTGTAATCTATTTTTAGCCATTGATTCCATTACTTTACATAAGTTTGAAGTTAGGGATATTGGTCTATATGAGTTAGCTTGATTAGCTGGTTTATTAGGTTTAGGGATTGGTATGACTAGGGCCTGTTTCCAGGGAGTAGGAACCTGTCCGTTTAGGTAGATGAGATTGTATAGTTTGAGTAGTGCCTGGAGTAGTTTTAGGGGGAGTTTTTTTAATTATTTGGTAAGAAGTTAGGTCTAATCCTGGGGCTGTGCCCTTTTTCCTGTTTTGGATTACGTAGAGCAGCTCCTCCATTGTGTAGGGTTGGTTTATTTCTAGATTGTTATTGTTTAGTTCTTTTGTGGGTTTGTTTTCTGTTTTAAGTTTATCTTGGAATTTTTACTGCTAACGGCCGAAAAGTGGTTGGCGTGATTATTTGCTTTTATGGCGGGGTTGGTTGAATTGTTAATGTTAGTTTTTTTATGTCGTTTTAAGCCTCTAATGGCGTGGATTTTGCGCCAGACGGTTCTGGCATCTGTACGGTTATTTATACCTTCGCAGAATTTTTTCCAGTCTCTACTTTTGGCTATTTGGACTAGTTTTTGAACCTGGTGGTTTAGTTCGTGTGCTATGTTTAGATGTTTGTAGTCGCGTTTTGCTTTATTGAAGGCTGATTTACGTTTTCGTCTAGTCTGTTCTATTTCCTCATTCCACCATGGTACCGTCGGTTTGCCCGTCTTAGATGTTTTGAAGGGGATGAAGGTTTTGGCTGCGTTTATTATATAGTCTGTTAGATTTTTACAATAGGTTTCTGGATCATTATTTTCTATTTCTTTTAAGTTAGCTTCGTTGCAGATTGGTCCCAGTTAGCTTTATTGTAATGGAATTTTTGTTCTTGGTTTTCTGTTTGGATTGGTACGTTTGTATTTCCTATGGTTATGTTTATGGGGAAGTGGTCACTACCTAGCGGGACGTCGTGCACTTCCCATTGATAGATCATTGGAGCTAGATCTGCGGTGCATATGGTTAGGTCGATAGCCGACATCTTTTGGTTTATCTTATCGTACCTCGTGGGTTGGTTGCTATTTAGGAGTACTTGGTCGTTTGTTTCTATCCATTCGGAGATTAATTTGCCATGATTATCTATTTTATCATCTATGCTCCATGTAGGGTGGTGAGCGTTAAAGTCTCCTAGGAATATAGTGGATTTATCGCTTATTTTGAGTAGTTTGTTTAGATCCTCAGGTTGGACTTCTTGTTCCGCCCAGTGGTAAATATTTATGATGTTTATGTTTCGGTTATTTAATGTGATTTTAATGCCGTTGGCTTCTAGGTTTGGCGTGTCTATTTTTATTTCTTCGTAATTTATATCTTCTCTGATAAATATGATTATTCCTCCTGCGGCTCTTCTTGTTTGGGGTTTAGCTCTGTCCGTTCTAACTGAGTTGTAGTTAGGTAGTGTGAATTTGGATTTTTTTGTGAATTTGGTTTCCTGGATAGTAACATTTATACATCATTTCATATAATTATAGTTTATTTAATAATAATTAATTTATTTAAGTAAATCTGTCATCACCTATATTAGAATAACATTCAGCAATTACTTCAATTTAGACCCATTTAGGATTAGCCCCCATACAAGCTCGTCTATAGTGCATTTAAGGATTAGCCCCAAAACAAGCTCGTCTATAGTGACACCATAATCTCTTTCAAAGCACCCAGTAATGTCAACAAGATTAGTGCCAGTCCAACAGGATTAACAGGATTAAGTATTTCCCTCGGTCTAGCCATTCATTAACCTTAAGGCACAGCCCATCGTGTATCAACCAATTATATTCCATGTTATTGTTCTATTTTTTGTTAAATACATACAGAAACCAAGTGTTAGGGCATTTAGAAACAACAGACCCCGAAACATTCTGTCAAAACCTAACTAACTTCATAATCAACGCAGCCAAATCCGCAATCCCCTTCAAATCATCCAACCCAGGAAAACCCACTGTCCCTTGGTAGAATGAGGAAATAGAGCTAACTAGACTAAAACGCAAATCAGCTTTCAACAGAGCTAAACGAGACCCCTCTCATCTCAAAACAGCTCATGAACTAAATCACCAAGTCCAAAACCTAGTTAAAACTGCTAAAACAAAAAACTGGAAAAAATTCTGAGAGGAGCTAAACCACCACACCGACGCTAGGAAGGTGTGGCGCAAAATTCACGCCATCCGAGGCATCAAACGGCACAAAAAAAGCCCCAATATAAACAACTCAACTAACCCCACCCAAAAGGCCAACAACCTAGCCAAACACTTCTCTAAAGTTAGTAGCAACAGTAACTTCAGTAAGAAATTCCAAGATAAACTAAATAAAGAAATAAAATTCTGCAAAGAAATCAGACAAGACAACCTAGAAATAAATCAACCTTACACCAAAGAAGAACTAAATCACGTACTAAACAATAGAAAAAAAGGAACAGCCCCTGGCCTAGACCTCACCTCTTACCAAATAATCAAACACTTACCTACCAAACTACTCCAAACTTTACTTAAACTATACAACCTAGTTTACCTAAACGGACAGGTCCCATCCTCATGGAAGGAAGCTCTAGTAATCCCAATACCTAAACCAAATAAACCAGCAGATCAGGCAAACTCCTATAGGCCTATATCCCTAACCTCAAATCTCTGCAAAATAATGGAACTTACGACTAAAAATAGGCTACAGCACTACCTAGACCAAAACAACAGCATAAACCCCGACCAAAGCGGCTTCACTCCTGGCCGATCAACTCTCGATAACCTTGCCCCACTAGAACAGGATATAAAAACAGGACAGCTAAACAAGCAATACACCATAGGCATATTCCTCGACTTCTCTAAAGCTTTCGATATGGTATGGCACCACGGGCTAATACAAAAACTAAAAAAAATAGGACTAAAAGGCCAAATAATAAACTTCATCCAAGATTTCCTAAACAATAGCAAAATTACCGTAGGTATAGACCATACGCTATCGGACCAGTGTCCCCTAGAAAATGGCACTCCCCAGGGCAGCATTCTCAGCCCAACCCTCTTCAATATAATGATAAATGATCTATTCGAGGGCTTATCCCCTAAACTAAACACTTCAAAATTCGCGGATGATGGAGCCCTATGGATCTGCACTAAAAGCATTAAAATGGCAGAAAACTTAATCCAAAAATCTCTAAATAAAATACAACAATGGGCAGACAAATGGGGCTTCTCCCTTAACTCAGATAAAACAACAGGAGTAGTATTCAAACATAAAAACATGAAACCTGCCTACCCAATCCTCCAGCTAAACAACCAAACAATCAAATTCCAAAAACAAACCAAATTCTTAGGACTTATTTTCGATCAACACCTCACCTGGGAGGCTCACGTCCAAAACCTAAAAACTAGATGCAGCAAAGACCTTAACACATTAAGATGTCTCACCGGCTCTAACTGGGGAGCCTCCAAAGATACCCTCCTCTCACTATATACAACACTAATTAGATCAAAACTAGACTATGGCTGCGCCATATACAATACCCTAAACAACTCTCTATCTAAAAAACTTGACTCAATACAATACCAAGCCCTTAAACTAATTACACGCACCCAACATGGCACTTCCTACACCTCACTTCAGGCCCTTACAGGAGAAATGCCACTAAATCTACGCAGGGAACATCTAAGCCTTAATTTCTGGGCCGCGTCCCAAACAAACCCTCTCATCCAAAACCTAATTAACCAAAACATTAGCCCAAGAAACCAAGCTCTAGCTCGCAAACACCCCTTACTCACCCCAATATCCCAAAGAATAACTAACTACCTCAATGAACACCAAACTCAAAATCTTAAACAAAACTGCAAAAAATCAAATATCTTCACCCCTAAACTCAAAATACCCCAAATAGACACAACGCTAACTAACCAAATAAATAAACAAACCGACCCAAACGTAGCTAAAACCACCACACTTTCATACATACATGAAAATTGGCCAAATTGGTGTCACATATACACTGACGGATCCTCAGACCCGATCTCCAACCACACAGGTTTCGGAGTCCATACCACACAACCAGTTATATCCACACACTCTTACTGACTCCCTAACAACCAATCTATATTCACGGCCGAACTTATGGGCATGGCCTCAGCCCTGCATAACCAACAATCAAAAAACAAAACAAAAATCCTAATTCTCACTGACTCGCTTAGTGGGCTACAAGCCCTCCAAAACAAAAATACCAAAAAACGACCTAAATTAATAAACCAAATACTTAAAAGCTCCAACGACCTAACAAAAGCAGGCAAACAAATAACCTTCTTGTGGATCCCCGCCCACGTAGGAATTTACGGCAACGAAAGCGCCGATAAAGCAGCTAAATTATCTCTCAAAATACCAGAAATAAGCCTAAACCTACCCATCTCAAAATCAGAAATTAAAAGTGTAAACAAACAAAAAATAACCAAAAAATGGCATAATCAATATCAAAACTCAAATAGCCAAATCCAAAAAGTGCTCAGAAAACCACTAGCCAAACCTAAAATCCTACACCCCTCTAAAAAAATTGACAGATTAATTACAAAACTCCAAACAGGACACACGAACCTAAATAACCACCTAAAACAACTTAAAAGACACACCACAGGCAACTGCCCCCACTGCAAACAACCCGAAACCACAGAACACGCACTCATCCACTGCACCCACTACCAAACACACAGAACCACACTACAAACCAACCTCAATCTAAATAAGGTTCCTACTCTAGATGAAATACTCAACCCTCAAAATAAACTAGAAAACTTCAAGGCCCTAGGCGTATTCCTAATCAAAACAGGCCTAATTAAGCGCATCTAAAAACTAATTAATCTACCAATCCAAAATCCAATAAACATACATACACCCACCTCACCCGGCTCCCTTAGTTCCCTCCTCCACCCACCTCGGCATTTATTCCAAATTTTAAAATTTCAAAAAATCGATATAAGCAACCCCTAAAAGCCCCCTCTTGTGTTGCACACACCACTTTCACCCTTCTCGGAATACACTAAATGGTCTGGCCAGGCCCGTGTGCGAAATACGCTGCAGTCGGAAAGAGCACGTTAAATCTTCTATATCAGTCAGTCAGTCAGCAGAGAAGGGGTTTGACTCTCTTACCAAGCAGACCTCTCTCCCACAGCCCAGAGGGTTGTACCGACTCAGCACCCTCAGCTATTTTCTAAGTAATTGTAAATTGTTCATTGTTAATTGTTCTTGAAAATTAAAATGTGATTAGTCTCCTGTGACTCCGGCTCTTTGCTGACTAATTCACCCAAGAAAACCAGCACGTCATTTGGAAGGTTTTTGTTCATCCATAACAGTCCATAATAATTCTATTACTGATAATTGTTCATCAATATAGTAATATAATGTATACTTCATCTGCAGCTATGTACCAATCTTCCTTCATGGTATACTACTTGACTCTCACATCATGGATGTCATTGGTTTCTGACTATTGTTTTGTATTGTAGTAGTGCAATATATCAACCAGTATGTAAGAAATGGCCATGGTGTTCAAATAAAATCAATGTTTAATGCTGAAAGTAGTATTAGCTATTTTACTATAATACTTCAATTGAAGTTTAAATAGTAAACAAAACGTCACTTTCCAACCGACTGGTATCCTTTACTGCTAATTTGATTTTGTTAATTAGTAAGAAGTGTGTTTGGCCTAAAGTGACATGATATGTGTTGAGTGATCCAACAGAAAGTTTGTTACCAATTCAGATGGATAGATACTTTAATGTTATTGGGATTCTTTTCCTGAATACCTTTTTAATATTTAATCAAATAAAGTCATATTGCCATGGTTTGTTTTTTGGGGTATTTTTGTTGTTGTTTAATGCTGCACTCAGCAATATTCCAGCTATGTAAGTAATGGGGTCTGGACCAGACAACCCAGTGACCGACAACATGAGCATTGATCCAAGCAACTGGGATCAATGAAATGCATATTGCCATGGAATTGTAGCACATCTGCATATGTTTCTCATGGAAAAACCTTCAAATGTTGAGTTCATGTTAGAAAAATGCAACATCCCCTACCAACTACACACAATTTCAGCTTCATCCCTGTTCACATTTTTTTTAAAACATTATATTTTTAATTTCAAGACACTACGAACCTATTCTCATAATTAAATCTGAATCTCATTGTCATGATCATACGGTTACATATCCTACCAAAATAACAGCTCTCTGGACCTTTTTGCCCATGAGAAGATGATGCATAAAATATTCAACAAATTAAGAATATATTCTCAATGAAACAAAACTGATTTCTCTATGCCAAGCCCTGAACAAAGTCACATTATGGTATTACAATCTTCAGAGAGTTTCATCTCTTTGGGCCTTGTGAAACTTCTAAAATATTCAAAAAGAAACAATCAACTGTGTTGCAATATTCACATTTTTCCTTAATACTCACAACTAGAAGGTTTCTGCAACGAGTGGAAGTAGAGGAAGTGAAATACCAAGAATATGAGGCATTTCTGACATTCACTTGACGCTAACTGGCCATAACTGACAGGTGTTTTCAAACAAAGACCACCACATGACACAAGTTGCTAAAAGTGTTAATATCTTAATATATCTCAGTGGATTGTGCGTGTGTGCGTACACTTATACCAATTGGGACTAATGCCTGTTTTTAAAGTGCTACCCCATTTAGATACCATGTCAGAGTTTTATCATGGATACCTGACACAGACATCGTTTATAATGGCGGTTGCTAGGCAGGGTAATAACGATCACCATCTTTTAACATCTCTTGGCATGAAGTGGCAGGGGATCGAAACCATCTGCTCTCCATGCAGGCATTCTGTCCAATACACCTTGGAGGCGGTTGGCATGGTGATGAAATCAATTATTTTTCTCAAAAGTTCCCTTTATGTTCGTTTTGCTCTGTGAGAAACTTTCTCAACTTTCGTCAAAAAGTATCATTTTCCAATGCTATACGATCCATTCCACAATGGATATCGCATAGCATTATGAACATTATTATGAAGCAATACACAATACCTGCAGCTGAATATTTTGAAACTTGCACCATAAACAAGACTGCTGATTTATATACAAGTTTATTGAGTAATCAGAAGATGCTGTTGGTGACAACAGCTTGACTGGCCAGTTGCTGGAATGTCTGTTGTACAGTATTGTACAGTTGGCTGTAGGAGGAGACCACACCCACCCGCTGTCGCTTACATGTGGGTTCTGGCATGTCCAGGTGACCATCCTCTCCTGGAAGCAAGGAGAAATCTGAAAAAAACACACAAAATAAGAATGCTGTATGAGATGATGTAGCACTGTCAACATTTTCAGTTCCTGGTAAATGGTTCAGTAATAGTGTGGCCAGTCTTAGGACTATCATATTTTGCAGACCCCCATTTTATGTAACATTTATTCATACCCAAAATACATGTAACATTCTTTCTTGAATTTCCCCCCTAAATTATGATTGACTAGTCCCTAAATAAACTTAAAATTTATAATTTTATATTCAAAATTCATGAAATCTATCGGTCCCCTCCCTATAATAAATGACCAGTTACTAACAATCATTCTTGCGATATGACCTTACACATGTCCAGTGCATTAACGGAAATGTTTATGCATCTAGATACCTTAATAACAAAATTGTAAGCACTTTCAGTTGAATAACATCACTTCCAGATTGGGAGAGCACATGGCCAATGCAACAATTTCTTTGGAACAGAAAGTCCCATATCTCTAGCTACCTCAATAAAACAGTTACTTGCACTTTGGTTTAAAAATATGACTTCCAGTTTGGAAAAGTATATATCAAATGCACGACAACTTTGATCAGGGTGGGATGTGACATCATCAAGCACTTACCCCAAGCCACCACTGAGTTCGTGGTTGTGAGTTGGGAGAAACAGGCTTGGCCGATCTGGGTGAGAAGTGACATCATCAAGCACTTACCCGACGCCACCACTGAGTTCGTGGTTGTGAGTTGGGAGAAACAGGCTTGGCCGATCTGGGTGAGAAGTGACATCATCAAGCACTTACCCGACGCCACCACTGAGTTCGTGGTTGTGAGTTGGGAGAAACAGGCTTGGCCGATCTGGGTGAGAAGTGACATCATCAAGCACTTACCCGACGCCACCACTGAGTTCGTGGTTGTGAGTTGGGAGAAACAGGCTTGGCCGATCTGGGTGAGAAGTGACATCATCAAGCACTTACCCGACGCCACCACTGAGTTCGTGGTTGTGAGTTGGGAGAAACAGGCTTGGCCGATCTGGGTGAGAAGTGACATCATCAAGCACTTACCCGACGCCACCACTGAGTTCGTGGTTGAGTTGGGAGAAACAGACTTGGCCGATCTGGGCGAGAAGTGACATCATCAAGCACTTACCCGACGCCACCACTGAGTTCGTGGTTGTGAGTTGGGAGAAACAGACTTGGCCGATCTTGGTGAGATGTGACATCATCAAGCACTTACCCGACGCCACCACTGAGTTCGTGGTTGTGAGTTGGGAGAAACAGACTCGGCGGATCTGGGTGAGATATGACATCATCAAGCACTTACCCGACGCCACCTCTGAGTTCGTGGTTGTGAGTTGGGAGAAACAGACTCGGCCGATTTGGGTGAGAAGTGAAGTGACATCATCACACAGAGGAGGGAAAGCCTTGCAGATGTTAAACAGGCAGGGCACAGTCTCTTGGAAGAACAGAACTCTCATCTCACTCTCTAGGACTGGAGAGAACACAAAATGTAGAGTTAAGTTACCGGTACTCCTTCGTTCCCAATGTATTTTGCAGGAATGCTGTGAGCAGAAATGTGCCCATCATGCAGGAAATCACAAATCACAAATTTTGTTCAGAACAAGTGCAGAAAATGCTGTTAATGCTGTTAAATTACAAGAAATGCAAGATAAATTGAAGCTTTTGTCACTTCTACAAACATAGATTAACCACGTCATTCATGAAATTACATCCATTCTGACATGATGAAAAGTATCATCACCAATAAAAAGAGAAAATCACTCCCCTTACAGCTTCAAGGTACTCATAATCATCTTGTAATAAATGGAGAATATCCATGAATACCCCATGCAGCTGTTCAGGGAAATCAAATGCACCTTGATCTACATACAGGATACCCCTATGTTGTGTGGAGCCTAGAAACTACATAAGTCTAAACACAACTGAGTGAAGGAGTTAAGTCTGACGCTGCTTTTAACAGTATTTCAGTCAGATCACGGCGTGTCAGCTAATGTGGGATGAAAGCCCATAGAGATGCAGACCTAAGAGCACCAACAAGCACAGGTATGGTGCTGACAAACATGTAAACAAAATAGGGGAGAACCGGGATTCAACCCACGATCTTAGGCTCCTAGGGTGCCTAAGGGACACAACTGTGTATAGCTAATTGCGGCACCTTAGACGACCCATGCCCCCAAGTCTACACACAAACACGAACTAAATGTTGCAGCTTTACCTGTGAGCATGGTGAACATGACGTTGATACCTAGTTTGGCCACACTGAGTGACTTGGGCAGCGAGTACTGGCAGCACAGATGACTCAACAGCTTGATGGAGAACACCTGTACACAGAGGGATGGCACAGTCAGGACGGGATGGCACAGTCAGGACGGGATGGCACGGTCAGGACGGGATGACACGGTCAGGACGGGATGACACGGTCAGGACGGGATGACACGGTCAGGGCGGGATGACACGGTCAGGACGGGATGACACGGTCAGGACGGGATGACACGGTCAGGACGGGATGACACGGTCAGGACGGGATGACACGGTCAGGGGGTCAGGACGGGATGACACGGTCAGGACAGGATGACACGGTCAGGACGGGATGGCATGGTCAGGACGGGATGACACGGTCAGGACGGGATGACACGGTCAGGACGAGATGACACGGTCAGGACGAGATGACACGGTCAGGACGGGATGGCACGGTCAGGACGGGATGACACGGTCAGGGGGTCAGGACGGGATGACACGGTCAGGACGGGATGACACGGTCAGGAAGGGATGACACGGTCAGGACGGGATGACACGTCTAGGACGGGATGACACGGTCAGGACGGGATGACACGGTCAGGACGGGATGGCATGGTCAGGACGGGATGACACGGTCAGGACGGGATGACACGGTCAGGAGGGGATGACACAGTCAGGACGGGATGACACAGTCAGGACAGGAGGTAAAGAAATACTTGGTTTGTTTTACATGGTAGTCCACAGAATTCCATTTATAACATGGTAACTTGTAAATGATGCAAGTCTGGGCCAGACAAACCAGCGCTGGAAAGTTTGAGCAGCATCTGAACAGTGAGTGAGTGAGTGAGCGAGTATGGTTTTACGCCGCTTTTAGCAATATTCCAGCAATATCACAGCGGAGGACACCAGAAATGGGCTTCACACATTGTACCAATGTCGGGAATCGAACCCGGGTCTTTGGTGTGACGAGCGAATGCTTTATCCACTCGGCTACCCGACCGCCCCCTACATCTGAGCAGGGTCAGATGAACAGCAACAAGCAGGGATACAGCTTTTTGGAAAAGGAGGAAGAATTTTGTGACCCGGCAATTTGTATTGGGTATTCGGGTAATGTTGTTGAAAGCAAAAATCACGAATAGAGTTGCAATACTTTTACACTTTGTATACCTGTCACCTACCTATAACATTTCTGCATGGTAAATGGTTTAGTATGCTACAACAATGGGGGCAGGGGGTACAATCAACCTCCTCACAGAGGCTGATCATCATTCACACAGGGGAGTGCTTAATTTGGCACTCTCAAAATGGGTAACCTAGCTGAGTAATCTAGCTCTACATTGAAAACACAGCTTGTAAGTACACGAACAAGCATCCCTCCAAACTGATGGCCTACCTTTACATGGTGCCAAAACACAATGTCACAATGCCCTCCTTGTCTGACACACAATTCTTTTCTCAGCTCCAAGGAAGCCACGTGTACATGAGATGAGTGGGTGTGGTCTCATGCCACTTTCAGCAAGGAACAACAAAACTGACCTGTGATGCATCAAAGCAATGTCTGTAGCTTGACTGACTTGCTCGAAGCACTAGGCAACCCAACTGTACATGAAAGTCAGGGAATACACATTCTTGTACATGCAGACATGTGACTGACCTTTTTTTCTGAACATGCAAACGTATGACTGACCTGTTTTCGTGAACATGCAGACATGTGACTGACCTGTTTTTCTGTCTGTGGCTGACCAAGCAGCTCTGGGATGAAGTCAAGACAGATGTGCATGGAGGGAACTCCGGCCACAAGCAGTGGGATCAGCTCACTGGCATAGCCCTGAAAACACACATTGGAATAGGCACATTGCTTTTTCTGCCTCCTTGTCAAAAGAAGTTCAACCTAAACATGAGTTGTAAGTAGACAGTAAGAAAGTTTGTACATAAGGTATATTTATGATTCCATGGCACAAAAGTCATGAAAGACCAGGTTCCCACTGATAGGCAAGTAACCCCTAAAAGGTTCCCACTGATAGGCAAGTAACCCCTTGTTTTTCTGCTTCCATGAGTATTAAAGGTATTTGTAGAAACTTGTCTCCCACCACTGAGTTTGCATACATCCCCGAAATTCCTTCCAATGACATCTTACTCAGTGTGCGAGATCAAGGCCAGGCCTGGGGTCAGTAAAGCGTGCTGCTGAAGGACTTGCATCTAAAGACCCTCTACATCTTCAATGTTTAACATTTGGGTCATGTCAAGGACACCTGGACTTCCATGTTTAATTGTGGATGTATGTGGACTGCATGGGGCACTCCAGGTTTGTACAGTTTTGAAAAGAACAACACATTGTCCATGGATGAAGTGTAGTTTGTACATCTGAACAGATTTCAAGCTTAAAGTTCCACACAGTGACACCTAAGTAAACTGGACCAGTATGTCGGCTGTGGCAGATGTACCTGGAAGTGGACCAGCTTGGCCAGGTTGGGGTCGGCGATGAAGACTTGGTGGAGATGGGAGAATATCAGACACTGGACCTCGCGTAGATCGGACAGTTGTCCTGTGGGGGTCTGAGGGAGAAAAAAAGAAAAAGTTGTAAATGTCATAGGTAGTTCTGCACCTGAGCAATTATCATAATAATTAAATTCATGGAGTGTTTGTGTTTTCAGTGCTAAAGATGCAAGAATAGATTTCCACTGGGAATGACTGGATACAGTGTTTGACACTGACAAATATGGATCAGTGGTCCAAAGGACCAGAACATGGAAATATCTACTGGTCCTGTTGGATCTCTACAGACACAATGGTGCTGGCCAAAGTAGGTCTCAGATCGCAGATACTTTATCATGTTCATACAGTATGAGTATGAATTAGAATGAGAAACCAGTCAAGAAGGTAACCACTGTACCACACAGGGTTGTTTAGGTTGCTAGTTTAGCTTGGAGCTTGAGTCGATTTATCGCCGATTTCAAAAGTCATACAAACTTATTTAAGATTACTTTGTTCATCCCCAAAATAATGCTAGATCACCGGACCAGCATGTATTTAATTTTACTGGTCCTTAAGGAAACACACTTGAGTCGGACCAACCATTATATGTATCTGTTGTCCCTCACCAGAAATTATAATGCGAAATATTTTAATGTTTGTCCCCTGATCAGTCCCAGCTGTAGTCCGCGATCAAGGAATATTTTGCACAAACGTCCACTCAGTGCAGAAATGTACCTTGCAGAAAATCACATTTTGTACAGAACCTCCACAGAATTTTCCATTGATTTGCCATAGAATTTGTCAAATACACTGCTGAAGTGAATCAAAAGACGGTTTTAAAAATGTAAACCGATATTTATCTTATTTTGAAGTGAAGTTGATGTTTGTATTAAGGCTTACCGTACATGCACGTCTGTATATTTACACAAGCTATCTCCAGACTCACTTCAAAAAGCTTTTCCAGCCGTGGACAATTCTTATTAAAATGCCTGCCACAAGTCAAACAGGTGCAGAACTACGAAATTCATGAAAACTAAGCTCAATTGTTTACAAAATTGTGTGCAGAATTATCAAAATTTGGTTCCAGAATTTACAAACATTGATCTCGGAATTTAGATTTTTTGGCCACTGAATACAACAGGGACTGTCTGACTGTCACCTCCTCCTTGTCAACGTGACAGCACTCCAGCAGGATCTGTATGATGGCGCTCTCCTGGGCTGCAGACAGAGCTATCTTCAGGTCCTGTCTCTCATGTTCTGCATGCAGGTTGTTGTCCAGGATTGGGTGTGTCTGGATGTGGTTTGTCAAATACACCTGACATGCCTGGGTGTATGCAGACAGGATACGCAGCACTATCTCCAGGATTGAGGGGTTTCTGGAATACAGAAAGTGAGTGAGAAAGGGTGGACTTGCAAGGAGATACACAGTATGATCTCAAGGATGAAGGGATTCCTGATGAACAGATATTGAGTGAGAGGAGGTTACGAGGACAGGATACACAGCAGTATCTCTGGGTAGAGGTGGTTCTAGGAAACAGAGAGTGAGTGAGAGGAGGTGTACAGGGGTGTACAGTCCCCAGTACCCCATGAAGAGAATAATAGTTCCCTAGTGGCCAATGAAGGTCATACAAGTTCCCCAGTACCTGATGAAGGTCATAACATATCCCAAGTACCCGGTAAAGGTCATAACAGTTCCCCAATACCCTGTGAAGGTCATACAAGTTCCCCAGTACCTGATGAAGGTCATAAAAGTTCCCTAGTACCCGGTAAAGGTCACAACAGTTCCCCAATACCTGATGAAGGTCATAAAAGTTCCCCAGTACCCCGTTAAGGTCATAACAGTTCCCCAATACCCTGTGAAGGTCATAACAGTTCCCCAATACCCTGTCAAGATCATAAAAGTTCCCCAGTACCCGGTAAAGGTCACAACAGTTCCCCAATACCCTGTGAAGGTCATAAAAGTTCCCCAGTACCCCGTAAAGGTCATAACAGTTCCCCAATACCCTGTCAAGATCATAAAAGTTCCCCAGTACCCCGTGAAGGTCATAACAGTTCCCCAGAACCATGTGAAGGTCATAATAGTTCCCAAGTTACCCATCTGAGAAGGTCCACAGTCTCACATGCACGTTGTAAGAACTTCCAGTGTTACATGAAGACTCGACAGTCACATCGGAGCAATATGAGGGGGTACAACTGACTCCCTCCGTGTTTACCTGAAGACTCGACAGTCACATCGGAGCAATATGAGGGGTACAACTGACTCATTCGCTTGTTTACCTGAAGACTCGACAGTCACATCGGGGTAATATGATGGGGTCCAACTGACTCATTCGCTTGTTTACCTGAAGACTCGACAGTCACATCGGAGCACTATGAGGGGGTCCACCACAATGTCCTGCTCTGTGTGGGGCATCACCTGGAACACCCCGTGTGTCTTGGCCCGCAGAGCGTTCACGGTCATCAAGCGGATGCTGGAAATACCAACAGGAACAACAACTTGATTCACTGAGGTAATGTACTCTGACCAATCTGAATACTACATACTGCACAAATACCATCTATAAAGCGAGTTTTTCATACCTGGCATGAGGGGTGACTAAACATAAGGTATGCAACATGATATGAGAGTAAAAGAAAGAAAGAGAGAGAGAGAAGACGGTTTGTATTTCAATCTTTTCTAGAACATGTTTAATGAGATAGTGAGCTGTGTTTAACACTGCTATCTCAGTCCTGTGACAGTGTGGCAATTTAATGTGGAAGGAAAAACTAAATTAATACAGATCATAGCTGTTTGTCATTGGTGAAACCAATACCCACAGGCATGGTGCAGACAAACAACAGGGCATAGTTGGGAGAAGCACAGGCATCGTGCTGACAAACAACAGGGCATAGTTGGGAGAAGCACAGGCATGGTGCAGACAAACAACAGGGCATAGTTAGGATAAGCACAGGCATGGTGCAGACAAACAACAGGGCATAGTTGGGATAAGCACAGGCATCGTGCTGACAAACAACAGGGCATAGTTGGGATAAGCACAGGCATCGTGCTGACAAACAACAGGGCATAGTTGGGAGAAGCACAGGCATCGTGCTGACAAACAACAGGGCATAGTTGGGAGAAGCACAGGCATCGTGCTGACAAACAACAGGGCATAGTTGGGAGAAGCACAGGCATGGTGCAGACAAACAACAGGGCATAGTTGGGATAAGCACAGGCATCGTGCTGACAAACAACAGGGCATAGTTGGGAGAAGCACAGGCATCGTGCTGACAAACAACAGGGCATAGTTGGGAGAAGCACAGGCATCGTGCTGACAAACAACAGGGCATAGTTGGGAGAAGCACAGGCATCGTGCTGACAAACAACAGGGCATAGTTGGGAGAAGCACAGGCATCGTGCTGACAAACAACAGGGCATAGTTGGGATAAGCACAGGCATCGTGCTGACAAACAACAGGGCATAGTTGGGAGAAGCACAGGCATCGTGCTGACAAACAACAGGGCATAGTTGGGAGAAGCACAGGCATCGTGCTGACAAACAACAGGGCATAGTTGGGAGAAGCACAGGCATGGAGCAGACAAACAACAGGGCATAGTTGGGAGAAGCACAGGCATCGTGCTGACAAACAACAGGGCATAGTTGGGAGAAGCACAGGCATCGTGCTGACAAACAACAGGGCATAGTTGGGAGAAGCACAGGCATGGAGCAGACAAACCATGAATCATAGTTGGGATAGCACAGGCAAGGTGCAGACAAAACATAGATCACAGTTGGGATAAGCACAGGTACGGTGCAAACAAACCACGGATCACGGCTGGCACTAAAACCCACAACCAGTGGATCCTGGCAGACGAGAGGTAACTCTGCACATAGTCACAGCATCACTGATCCATCCTATCTTCCTATGGTGATTAACATGTACCAGATACGCATGGTTTCAGTCTATCAATAGACTTGCTGTTTGCATGAAACTTGGTGACATCTGTTAGTTACTACAACAAATCAAGTGGATGAATAAGTGAGTGAGTCAGTGAGTGAAAAAATTAACCTTCTCGGGGATACAGCATGAGCCTTGAACCAGTTTTTCTTGGCAAGGTCAAGGACACGTCGTGGAGTACCCTCCAGCAGCAAGGTGGGGAGGCTGGAGATCAACACATCATTGTAAGGCATCAACTCCAGGGAGGGAAGAGACAACAGGTGCTCTAGGTGAGCTATCACTTTTGTGGGAGACGACTGCAGCTCCGATAATGCTGGAATGAAGAATTTAACATCATCAATATTGCTTAATAAAACATATATATACATTGCAACAAATACTTTTTGTAGAGATTATTTTGTTCAAAAGTTCTGTACAGACAATCATAATCAACTACCAAACTAGAAACAAATGAAACAGTGCTTGTGTGACATGCTGGAGCCAAACCACCAACAAATGAAACAGTTCTTGTGTGACATGCTGGAGCCAAACTACCAACAAATAAAACAGTACTTGTGTGACATGCTGGAGCCAAACTACCAACAAATAAAACAGTGCTTGTGTGACATGCTGGAGGCAAACTACCAACAAATGAAACAGTGCTTGTGTGACATGCTGGAGCCAAACCACCAACAAATGAAACAGTGCTTGTGTGACATGCTGGAGCCATACAACCAACAAATAAAACAGTACCTGTGTGACATGCTGGAGCCAAACTACCAACAAATGAAACAGTACTTGTGTGACATGCTGGAGCCATACAACCAACAAATGAAACAGTGCTTGTGTGACATGCTGGAGCCAAACCACCAACAAATGAAACAGTTCTTGTGTGACATGCTGGAGGCAAACTAACAACAAATAAAACAGTACTTGTGTGACATGCTTGAGCCCAACCACCAACAAATGAAACAGTTCTTGTGTGACATGCTGGAGCCAAACTACCAACAAATAAAACAGTGCTTGTGTGACATGCTGGAGCCAAACTACCAACAAATAAAACAGTACTTGTGTGACATGCTGGAGCCATACAACCAACAAATGAAACAGTGCTTGTGTGACATGCTGGAGCCATACAACCAACAAATGAAACAGTGCTTGTGTGACATGCTGGAGCCAAACCACCAACAAATGAAACAGTTCTTGTGTGACATGCTGGAGGCAAACTAACAACAAATAAAACAGTACTTGTGTGACATGCTTGAGCCCAACCACCAACAAATGAAACAGTTCTTGTGTGACATGCTGGAGCCAAACTACCAACAAATGAAACAGTGCTTGTGTGACATGCTGGAGCCATACAACCAACAAATAAAACAGTGCTTGTGTGACATGCTGGAGCCAAACCACCAACAAATGAAACAGTGCTTGTGTGACATGCTGGAGCCAAACTACCAACAAATAAAACAGTACTTGTGTGACATGCTGGAGCCAAACTACCAACAAATAAAACAGTACTTGTGTGACATGCTGGAGGCAAACCACCAACAAATGAAACAGTACTTGTGTGACATGCTAGAGACAACCTACCTTCTTGATATGTTGATGGAGAGAAGGAGTGGACCACCTTGGACTTGTTCATCTGCTGCTGCTGCTGCGTTGTGAGACTCTCTTCCAGCCAGTCCTCCACCAGACACAGGTGTGGGTACTGAGTCACCAACAGCCTAAAAAAACAGCCATACACTTACATAGCTTTCCGGCATTTAATGAAGTTATAAGATGTGCAAGTGTTTTGTTTTCATAAATGTGCAACAGTGTGAGTGATTCAGCACTATTCAAGCAACATCACTGCAGCCTATAAGTAATTTGAGAGTCTTGGCACTGACACAATCAGCCAGGTCAAGCACCTGACTAGCCATTTGTAGAGGCACTATGGGCACATTTCACCCTGAAATCCCAACAGGGAATGCAGTACTACGCCATGGGCTTCAGAATAAACAAATACTTTCATGAAGGATTTTTCACAAAGATTTGTCTCAAACTATGGATAAATCAATATACATGTACTTCTAATGGTCCAATTGATTAAATCAGGAGTCGTTCACTGCAATGGATGGTACAATCACAATGATTCTGTCCGGCCTACCTTGTGAGAGGGGCAAACAGGCCAGCATACATCTGTTGTTCCTTGAGAGCTGCTTGGATGAGATAGTTGATAGGGATCTTCGACATGATGGTATCGGAGTAAGATTTGATCGGACTCTTTAGTAACACTGTGGTGGAAGAATGAAAGATATGATCTGTAACTACATTAGCTCTAAACAAACTAACAAAGCTGGAAGGTTACTTTGCATGTCCAGGTCATCTGCTCTGTTGTCTTGACTCACCCACAGTTTTCATAAATATTTACAAACCTGTAGAGGTTATGAATTCTCTGATGAAATCCTCCTTGGGGCACTTATTGCATTTTCCTTGCTCAAGAAAATCTACATGACATAGTAGTAACCATTTTCCTTAATAAAAAATGTTACCACACAAAAAACTTCGTTTTTGTATGATATACGACCACCCTTACGGGGCCTCAATAAATGGAACCAACCTTATCGTGAGGCTCCACCGTCGAAAGGCGGGGGCTAGAGACAGGGCGTGGTCGACCATATATTATGATAAAGCCTGTTTTTGCCGTATGTCATAAGTTGAGAACTCGAAACACCCCCCACCCCACCCCACTTTTTTGAACAAGTGATATAGGGGTGTAGATCACGAGAGACTATAACCCGCGCTGAGCTAGGCCAGAGGGTCCCCAAAGATCGAAGGAGTGCATGTGCAAAATACGAGTATCATCGAGTAGTAAGGACTGATATTTATCGACCGCAGAAGATAAAATCCGGACCATTCCTGAGCAGTATAACCGGAGGACTGTCTAAAATCTCGAATGCTCAATCTGCTAGAGATTAGAACTTTGCCCAGTTCGGAGAACTGACTGACCAAACCGAGCACGCTCGCTTGAGTGTTTGTCGAGTTTGTAATGTTTGATGAACGTGTCGCCTACCCGTCTGCCGTACGTTACCCCCACAAGGAACACTGTCTTCCAGCTCAACAGCTGAAGAGAGAGAGACGACAGATCCCAAAAGGAAGGACCGGACAGCCAATCGAGAACGATTGACAAGTCCCAAGGGGGTCGGATCCTGTCCACACCAGCTAAAAAGCGCTGCACTATTGGGTGTGCACCCAGAAGTGCCCAGTCGACAGGGATGTGAAAAGCTGCGATAGCTGTAGAGTACCCTCGGACTGTTGATGCGGCCAGGCCGTCATCTAGTCGCGACTGGAGGAACTCAAGCACCGCTACGAGATCTGCAGAAAAAAGATCTGCAATCCCTCTATCGACACACCAGCGCGCATAGCAGGCCTATCTATCCTCGTACTGAACGTTTGTCGAATCCCTCAGCGGAGCCAGTATTGTGTCTGCAACTCATGCAGGAATACCGCTCTTCTGGAGGCGATTCCTGACAGTGGCCAAGCCACCCATTGAATCCTGGGATTCGGGTGGAGGGCCCCGTTCTGGGATAGGAGGTCCGGTCGTAAAGGTAATATAACAGGAGGCTGAGCCAGAAACCTGAGTATTACTGAAAACCAACTCTGCGCCGACTAAAGAGGTGCCAGGAGCACAATTAGTCGCGCAGGCTGAGTGCCTAGCTGAGACAGGACCTTGGAAATGAGAGTTACTGGGGGGAATGCTCACAGAACTGTCTGTCCAATCTAGCTGGAAGGCGTCCGGTGCCACCGACCTCGGGTCGGGGACTCGGGAGCAGAACGTTGGTGTCTGGTGATTCATCCCAGACGCAAACCTATCCACCTGTAACGACCTGTATAACAGGGAGAAAATCCCGAATATCCCCGGGTCGAGCCTCCACTCGTGAGAAGCGAGCATCCGGCGAGACAGAGCGTCCGCACGGACGTTGTCTACCCCCGGGAGATAAACAGGTAGCAACCTGATATTGTGAGAGTCGCACTATAGTAGGAACTGCCACGTCTTTTGTCGAAGCGACGGAGACGCCGATCCCCTCTGCTTCCAGATGTAAGTCATCGCCGTTTGGTTTTCCATCTCTAGACAAACCACTTGGCCACGAAGCAGATCCGGGAAGCGTTGGAACACCAACCTGACCGCTCTCAGTTCTAGCACATTGATATGCAGTTTGATCTCCTGCTGGGACCATAGTCCCCAGGCAGTGTGATCATTCAGAACGCCTCCCCAGCCGGAGAGTGACGCGTCTGTTTGAACTGTGAGAGACGGAACGGGGGTGTCGAGCGGTAGCCCCCGGGACAGATTCCCGACCTCGGTCCACCACTGGAGGTGTGTAATGAGCCACTACGGAGTCTCGAGCACAGTCTCGAGATCTTCCGAGTTCGCCTAAAATCGACGTAGTGCTTATTGAATGGGACTCATTCTCAAGCGCGCCCGCCAGACCACATCCACTGCCGCCGCCATGTTGTCCAGTAACTGGAGCCATGTACGAGCAGTGTGACTTGAACTTGATATCTTGTGATAGAGATACACGTCCTCTCACCATGTTGAAAGTAGCCCCTAGGAAGACTAGATTCTGGGTGGGGCTCAGATCTGACTTCTTGAGATTGACCATCCACCCTCGAGTGATCAGAATGTCTATCACTTCTTGTGTAGCTATCTGACTCAGGGATTGCGATAGAGTTCTTAGTAACCAGTTGACGAGGTACGGATGGCAGAACCGACCTTTCGACCTGGCCACTTGGGCAGGAAACAAACATCAGCTTGGTGAACACCCTCGGGGCCGTGTAGATCCCGAATGGTAGAACCCTGAACTGATAACACCTCCCGTCGAAAGAAAACCTCAGGTATTTCTTGAACTCGGGGTGTATGGGTATGTGGAGATAGGCGTATTTTAAGTCTATTGACGTTAGCCATTCTCCTGTCTCGACAGCTGAGATCACTGTTTGGTGACTAGGAAATAAGTCGAGTAGAAGCCCTCGCTTTCCTGTCCCTCGGGACCCGGTTCGATCGCAGCTTTCATAAGAAGTGCGTCGACCTCGGCACGGAGGAATTCCGCCTTTCTCGGGTAGCAGGCACCGGAGTGTGCTTTATCCTAAAGGGGGAGGGGGCAGATGATGTTTCCACCGAGGCAAATGGCCATCCCCTATAGTGGACGGGGTCCGGGGATTGTGATGTAACTGTCTCCCATTCCTTCAGGAATAGAGCCAGTCGGCCGCCTACGGGGACATCCGGCTGGAGGCAGTGGACCCCGGCTGTCGGCAGTTCGATAACTTGCGACTGTGGGTCCACCCGATGGGTTCCCAGCCCCGCGAAAAAGCTGTTGGCCTCGACCAGCTGCCTTGCCCCGGTCTCTCTTGCTCCTCCCGTCGCCCTTACCTGAAGGAAGCGACTGCATCCAAGCAGGTGTGGACTTCTGACCCGGTGCGTCAGCGTAGGAGGGGTCAAGTGGAGAGGCCCGCTTACGTGGTTTTAACGCTTGGTACCTCCAACAAGGCCTTAGAGTCTATGATGGAAGTATACAATTGAGCGGCCTCTCGGACCACCTGCTGAGCGCCAGGGAAGAGGGTGGCACCTATCTTATACGGCAAAGCAAGTAGGTCTTGGCGTGTGGAAGTCGAGTATTTAGATACCGACATCCACAGCCTGCGCATGACAGCACACATCATGAGCGAGGCACAGCTACGAATAGCGTCCCGGGCAAGATGACTGAACTTCCGTTAGTTGCGCGGCCAACTCCCTCTCCCGCTTACTCCCTCTGTACAGCCGACAGATACGCAGGGTGTGCGGACACACGGAGCTGTTGGCATGCATTATGATATTGCACCTCAAAGCACATGTAAGCAGCCTTCAACCGACGGCCCTGCTTGACCTTAGTCAAGTTAGGGGTCTCGGCGTCTGGCATGGGCGCAGCCACCTGAGGCAGTACCTGGACAATCCTGTCCCGCACGTGCCTCTGCACCCGAGGTCACCTCCTCCCACATCGACGCCATCTGCGACTTAAGTAACGCAGAAAAGTCTGCCAAAGACAGTGACGGAGAGGGTGCAGTGCTTACTACGGGGACCCTCGAGCCTTCTCCCCCGGCCCCCGGAGAGGGAGCAGGGCAGACAGTCTCGGCAGCTTTTTATTTTTTTATTTTACCCTTTTTAGATGGGCAGGGGGGTGGGGAGGTCTCAGCAGATCTGATATCTATCCCCGCCTTTAATAGACCTCTTTAAAGTGGAGCAAGTCAACTTGTCTCTTTTTGGGGGCCCGGGGGGTAAAGGCAATGCCCGTCCTCCACCAGACATTTAAGGCAGCGTTCATGCCTGTCTTATAACAACCCATACACAGTTTGAAGGTCTTTGTAAAAAAGACCGTAATTTCTGAGGTGGGCGGGAAGGGTATTAAAGTGTATCAGTGCGATATAAAGATCGGAAAGATACGTGCATAAATTGTGAAACTAGAAGCAAAGGCGTAATATAGAATGCGATTTGTAACGCGATACTAATAGCCAATGTCGTAGTATAATTATAACACCAAAGGGGGCGTGTTACGAGCGAAGGTGTAAAAACCCGTAAAAAAGGTAAGTGTAGTTTATAAATTAACACACCACCTTGGGTTTTTGTAAAGGAAAAAATTGTAGACCAATGCTGTTTGATATAACAAAACCCCAAGCCGTTTCTAATGGCCTTGGTGTTACATGTATCAGCCCGTGGAACTACAATATGGACGCCATTACGGCCATTTGAATTCAAAGGTACCGTGCACATGGCGTATAATTACAACTCTATAACTTTACAATGCGAGGTAATACGCCTTTGCAATGAAAGAAATGTACCATACATACAGTTTGGTCAGCCAATGTTCTTGTCACTGCTTGTTGAACGATAGATACTTATTTTGTCTTGTGTGAAAAATCAGCAAGTCTGTCTCTTACAGATGACATAAGGAAAGTGATTTGGGTGAGAGTTGCTCCCCCTGGCGTGAGGCGCCGTGGGGGGTGAGGCCCCGTAAGGGTGGTCGTATATCATTCAAAAACGAAGTTTTTTGTGTGGTAACATTTTTTATTAAGGAAAATGGTTACAACTATGTCATGTAGATTTTCTTGAGCAAGGAAAATGCAATAAGTGCCCCAAGGAGGATTTAATCTGAAAGAGAATAAAAAGAATTGTCCTGACTAGCCTACAGTCTTCATCAGTTAAGTCCTGACTCACCCATAGTCTTCATCAGTAAAGTCCTGACTCACCTATAGTCTTCATCAGTAAAGTCCTAACTCACCCATAGTCTTCATCAGTAAAGTCCTGACTCACCGATAGTCTTCATCAGTAAAGTCCTGACTCACCTATAGTCTTCATCAGTAAAGTCCTGACTCACCTATAGTCTTCATCAGTAAAGTCCTGACTCACCTATAGTCTTCATCAGTAAAGTCCTGACTCACCCATAGTCTTCATCAGTAAAGTCCTGACTCACCTATAGTCTTCATCAGTAAAGTCCTAACTCACCCATAGTCTTCATCAGTAAAGTCCTGACTCACCGATAGTCTTCATCAGTAAAGTCCTGAATCACCTATAGTCTTCATCAGTAAAGTCCTGACTCACCCATAGTCTTCATCAGTAAAGTCCTGACTCACCTATAGTCTTCATCAGTAAAGTCCTGACTCACCCATAGTCTTCATCAGTAAAGTCCTGACTCACCTATAGTCTTCATCAGTAAAGTCCTGACTCACCTATAGTCTTCATCAGTAAAGTCCTGACTCACCTATACATGCTATAGTCTTCATCAGTAAAGTCCTGACTCACCTATAGTCTTCATGTGGTTCATGAGTGTATCCTCATAGAGCAGCACATAATACAAGACCAGCAGCTGTGGAGACAGATTGTCCTGGCGTATGTCCGATGGCGACTGCTGCCTCTGTTTAGCCGATTGTTTATGTGTCACTGAGTCTCTGTACACAGCCAGTATTTCCTGCTCTGTGAGCGGCTCATTGGTGTGTTCAGTTTTAGCACCTTTCACAATGATTGAGTTCACATACGTCTCTATGAGTTGAGGCAGGAGAGGGTGTAAGGGGAGAGAACTGTGTAATATTTGTTTGTAGATCCAATCCTGAAAATCAACAATGAATTTTAATGACAATGTGGGACCTGCTACAGTTGGTGATTGAATATTCTTTAATTTTGCAGTCAACAACATTCAAGTTCTGTAATAGAAACCAGTAAATAATTGAGTCCGGGACATGTTAACAAGTGGTTATGCTGGTCTTAAGAGGTGACTGAAACGTTCAGGTGGTCAGGCTCGGTGATGGCATGTCAACATGCCTTAAAGTCGTAAATGGCTCCTCAAAATATCAACAACTGCATTGTCTCATGACTGACTGAATTATTTACAGGTTGTTGTAGGATAACTGGAATAATCCTGAATGCAGAACACACCGCTGTCATGTAAATGACACACAATCAACCAGGTCACACATCTTCCAGATCCTCAGTTTAGTTGCCTCTTAAACATAGGGCACAGTAAAACGTTTCTCCCTGGCTTCACTACAGAGTGATTTGCTACAGGAAACATCACCTGTTATTAAGCAATTAAATGCTAAACAGAATCAAACAAATAGAAAAAAATATAGCCTAAATAAACATACAAGACTGGACATTTTAAAACACCTTGAGTACAGAGTTCAACAATTCATGTAAACAATCCCTATCTTCTCCCTAACTTCAGTGGACATGGATCATGCTCCTAAGTTTCTATACCGTGCTCAGCATTGTCATAGGTCTGTTTGTTTGTTGTTTAACGCCACACTCAGCAATATTCCAGCTATATGACAGCAGTATGAACCAGACAATCCAGATTGACATCATGAGCATCAAACCACGCAATTGGGATACGATGACATGCATCATCCAAGTCAGCGAGCCTGACCACCCTCTCCCGTTAGTCGCCTCTTACGGCAAGTATTTGGCTTCAGCTAATGTGAATGTACCTCTTGAGCTGACATTAATATTTGGCATTATTTGTTTCGAGGTACTAAATCTAAAGAAATCAGCAGTCAGTATTTCCAGTGATACGATACCTTGATTGCAACTTTGTGTTTGGAGAAAACACGACTCTTGAGTAGTTGACAGATGCTGTGTAAGGGGAGGTAACCCGACATGGTGGCGTTCAGGTTGGGAGTGACGGGGATCTTGACAGCATGTGACGCTATCACCTGGAACAAACATCATACATTATGGACTTCAGTAAAAGTGTGGACATGGAGACATGGTATGATTCCTATTATAATGTACAGCTCACAATACATATCATAATACTTCAAATCAAATTCCTTCTTTTCGTGTTTGTATGTGTGGGAATGCTGTTAATTACCTACATCACTCTTCAACAAGTATGTTTCATTTCAACCTGAATGTGGTCAAGTTTCCTGATTTATGGTTTCTTTTCAGAAATCCTAAGACTTTGAAAGTATTTGACCTGTCAGCAACACTCATGACATATTTGAGAAAAAGGCAGTACTGTTTTGTTCCGTAATACAGCCCTTGCACACCAGCATACTGGGGGCCTAATAACCCCAATACAGCCTTGCACACCAGCATACTGGGGGCCTAATACCCCAATACAGCCCTTGCACAACAGCATGCTGGGGGCCTAGTACCCCAATACAGCCCTTGCACACCAGCATACTGGGGGCCTAGTACCCCAATACATCCCCTGCACACCAGCATACTGGGGGCCTAATACCCCAATACAGCCCTTGCACTCCAGCATGCTGTGGGCCTAGTACCCCAATACATCCCCTGCACACCAGCATGCTGGGGGCCTAATACCCCAATACAGCCCTTGCACACCAGCATGCTGGGGGCCTAGTACCCCAATACATCCCCTGCACACCAGCATGCTGGGGGCCTAGTACCCCAATACAGCCCTTGCACACCAGCATGCTGGGGGCCTAGTACCCCAATACATCCCCTGCACAACAGCATGCTGTGGGCCTAGTACCCCAATACAGCCCTTGCACTCCAGCATGCTGTGGGCCTAATACCCCAATACATCCCCTGCACAACAGCATGCTGGGGGCCTAGTACCCCAATACAGCCCTTGCACACCAGCATGCTGGGGGCCTAATACCCCAATACATCCCCTGCACAACAGCATGCTGTGGGCCTAGTACCCCAATACATCCCCTGCACAACAGCATGCTGTGGGCCTAGTACCCCAATACAGCCCTTGCACTCCAGCATGCTGGGGGCCTAATACCCCAATACAGCCCTTGCACTCCAGCATGCTGGGGGCCTAGTACCCCAATACAGCCCTTGCACTCCAGCATGCTGTGGGCCTAGTACCCCAATACAGCCCTTGCACAACAGCATGCTGGGGGCCTAATACCCCAATACAGCCCTTTGCACACCAGCATGCTGTGGGCCTAGTACCCCAATACAGCCCTTGCACTCCAGCATGCTGGGGGCCTAATACCCCAATACAGCCCTTGCACTCCAGCATGCTGGGGGCCTAGTACCCCAATACAGCCCTTGCACTCCAGCATGCTGTGGGCCTAGTACCCCAATACAGCCCTTGCACAACAGCATGCTGGGGGCCTAATACCCCAATACAGCCCTTTGCACACCAGCATGCTGTGGGCCTAGTACCCCAATACAGCCCTTGCACTCCAGCATGCTGGGGGCCTAATACCCCAATACAGCCCTTGCACACCAGCATTCTGGGGGCCTAGTACCCCAATACATCCCCTGCACACCAGCATGCTGGGGGCCTAGTACCCCAATACAGCCCTTGCACACCAGCATACTGGGGGCCTAGTACCCCAATACAGCCCTTGCACACCAGCATACTGGTGGCCTAGAACCCCAACACAGCCCTTGCACACCAGCATACTGGTGGCCTAGAACCCCAACACAGCCCTTGCACACCAGCATACTGGTGGCCTAGAACCCCAACACAGCCCTTGCACACCAGCATACTGGTGGCCTCATACAACAATATCCCCACACCTCTAGGAATCACAAAAAACTGCAGAAAATGATCAGGTGAGGTGAGGTGAGGTGAGGTGAAATGGGGTTTAACGTCGTGTCCAAGATTATTGCACTTATATAGCGACGTGCGTGTGTTTGTGTGGCTGCTTCTACTAGTCCGGACTGATGCCGATTTATAGTGCTAGCTCACTGAGATACCATGCCGCAGTTTAACATGAATACCCCACTCAGACACAGTATACGGACTCCGAGCCGATCAGTCCTTGTTTTAGCCCCTTAATGACGAGCGCCAGACAGGGTAACAAAATGTACCATCTTTTAACGCCTTTTGGTATGACGCGGTCGGGGATCGAATCCTGGACCTTCCGCTCTCCGGGCAGACGCTCTTCCACTAGACCACTGAGGCGGTCTAGAAAATGATCAGGCAAACCACAGTAGATAAAGCATGACCCAACACAAACAGTTGTGCTTATGACAAGAAAGAACTGATGAAGACAATTATAAAACATGCTTGATCATGTTGATAGAGGATGAGATTAAAGGAGTGGGATGGAGTACCTACCTGCTCTGTGAATAGCTCCTGTGTGAAGATCTGCCGCATCCTGGACAGAGCATTGGCCTTCACTGCACTCTGATGATGATAATAATAACAATAATAATTACAAGGTTTTCTTTGTTCATGTAGTAGTGAATACAAACCATAAAAAAAGAGTCCTATAAAGGCATAAGTAGAGATAGGCACTTGCACCGTCTTATGTGAAATTAATACACATAAAAGGTCCCTCCTCTGGAAATCATAACTCAGTCTTGATAAGTATATCTTAGATTTAAGCTAACTTCAGTAGTTTCTGAGAAAACTTGTCCCTATTGCAGACACTATGCACTTACTAAAATAACATGGATCAATGGTCATAACTGTGTAAAAAATACATTAAGGGACCAGTTTTTGAACTCAATCTTGACAAGTCTCTCTCAAATAAGCATGCAAACTTTCATTCATGTAAACTTCAGTAGTTTCTGGTATCAAATCAAACAAATTAATGTCTTTGGCATAGGTATTATGCCAGATGATCTGTATATGGCATAATTGTGGTTCTTGTGCACTATTTCCTCTTTGAAGGTGTTCAATGTAAGGCATGTTTACTATGTTGTAATTAATAACACATGTTGCTGAAACAACACAGCATTACAAAGACATCTGCATGACATGAGTGAGTGAGTGAGTTAGGTTTAATGCCGCTTTTAACAGTATTCCAGTTATATCATGGCGTGTCAGCTTAATGTGGGAGGAAACCCTGTGGTGCTGGTCTTAGACGTTTACCAGTTTGGAGAAACCCACGAGCACGGGTATGGTGCTGACAAACCTAGAAATATAATCGAGTAACCCACAATCATATCTTTCAGGCATATCCGAGGGAAGCAACTCTGCACAGCGAATTGCAGCGCCTTAGATGACTGGGCCACCCGTGCCCCCCTGCATGACATGAAGGCTCTCGGTTTGAAGAATGGCTGGAGAAACTGATAAAACACTGATCAGGTTCAGGTCCGAGTGAGTGAGTGAGTTAATGCTTTACGTCACATCGGCAATATTTCAGCCATATCGTGACAGTTCAGGTCTGAGAGTCGGTTTACCAAAGGAGAGCGTTGAAACCTTGACAGCAATGTATATGGGTTAACTACCTTCATGCCGAGAGTCTTGCACACCAGGTCAGCTATGGCATGTATCTGGTTGTTGTGGAAGTGCAGGGCTATCAGGAACAGCATCTCACCAAATGATGTCCCACTTGCAGCTTCCCTGCAGGAAGAATCACACCAGTGGTCAGAGTTAGGATGAAAACAAGGGGACCTTATTCTAATCATGATGTTACAAAGGACATCTTATGATCAACATTACACTCCAAGGCAAACATGATAATCTTATGAATGTGTGAAGCCCATTTCTGATGTCCCCAATGTGATATTTCTGAAATATTGCTAAAAGTGGTGTAAAAACATACTCTATCAATCAATCAATGATAATCTTTATGAGGTTACTATATTATTATTCATGGTATGCAAGAAGGCTACAAGAGTTATGTCCCTTTGTAAACATTTTATTCCATCTCACACAGAATAGAATGTATGATCAAGTATCCTTATCATGTACATGTCTTTAATGTTGTCATGGTACTGCCAGTTAGGCTGGGAAGTCAGTTGTGACTGGTCAATTAGCAAAGATACCATGTTCATCATTGTTGTCATTATCGACTAATGATTCAAGACAAGGTGTAACAACATACCATGCACAAAGCATCTACTCTACAAGGCATACAAAATATGCATAAAGGATCAACTCATCCTACTGGGCAATCTCTAGGCATAAAGCATCCACTCCACAAGGCAATAATGTGAAAGGAATCGACTCACTTCTCGAAGATGCTCTCGTTTGTCATGAGCCACTTGATCCAGTCGATGACCTGCTGCTCCTGGTCCAAGGATCTGCCACAGCACAAAGATGTCATTGTGTAAGTGTGTCAATCAAGAATTTAATGAGAGTCCATATTTTCATTTTTTCATTTTCTCCAATACTATTTGTGAAATCTAACTCATGCTTGCAAGGGATATGAAGTACTCACCCCAGGAGATACGGACAAGCTATGAGGGGACACAGTTCCAGGGATATAAAGTACTCACCCCAGGAGATACAGACAAGCTATGAGGGTGCCCAGTCCCAGGGATATGAAGTACTCACCCCAGGAGATACAGACAAGCTATGAGGGTGCACAGTTCCAGGGATATAAAGTACTCACCCCAGGAGATACAGACAAGCTATGAGGGTGCCCAGTCCCAGGGATATGAAGTACTCACCCCAGGAGATACGGACAAGCTATGAGGGGACACAGTTCCAGGGATATAAAGTACTCACCCCAGGAGATACAGACAAGCTATGAGGGTGCCCAGTACCAGCGATATGAAGTACTCACCCCAGGAGATACGGACAAGCTATGAGGGTGCCCAGTCCCAGGGATATGAAGTACTCACCCCAGGAGATACAGACAAGCTATGAGTGGACACAGTCCCAGGGATATAAAGTACTCACCCCAGGAGATACAGACAAGCTATGAGGATGCACAGTCCCAGGGATATGAAGTACTCACTCCAGGAGATATGGACAAGCTATGAGGGTGCACAGTCCCAGGGATATGAAGTACTCACCCCAGGAGATACGGACAAGCTATGAGGGTGCCCAGTCCCAGGGATATAAAGTACTCACCCCAGGAGATACGGACAAGCTATGAGGGGACACAGTCCCAGGGATATAAAGTACTCACCCCAGGAGATACAGACAAGCTATGAGCGTGCACAGTCCCAGGGATAAAAAGTACTCACCCCAGGAGATACGGACAAGCTATGAGGGTGCACAGTCCCAGGGATATAAAGTACTCACCCCAGGAGATACGGACAAGCTATGAGGGTGCACAGTCCCAGGGATATAAAGTACTCACCCCAGGAGATACGGACAAGCTATGAGGGTGCACAGTCCCAGGGATATGAAGTGAGCACCAGCTTTCGAGGGAGGAGGTCGAGCTGTTACAAGGTCCAGCAGAGCCACCATTTCCTCATCAGAGTATCTAGACAACACAATATGTGACCTCATCAAATGACCTAGTCAAAAGAACATGTGACCTATAAGTATCTAGTCTGTTGCTGCTGATAGCACAGAAAGTGATAAATTATACTTGACCATATGACCTTTCATCATACCCCTACAACAGGCAGTTAGCTCTCCACCTACTTGAGTGTGGCCATCCCTCTCAGAGCACAGTAGAGCCGTATCAGCATGCTGGCCTGGATCACACCGCTCTCTGCCATCTTGTCTCCCCGTGTGGCCGGAACGATGGAGGTCACCTGGTCCAGCAGCTGTTGTCGCAGCGTGTACAGCATACAGCCTGATGGTTCACGCTTCCGCTGTCAAACAAAACCATAAGATGGGCAGGTGATGTTTGACAGATGCAAAGCAATTTTCAGTCATTCCGAAGTTATAGCCTGTAATAGTCTGTAATAATTCACTGGTGGACCAAAAGAATTCACACAAAAAAAGATACAAGAGACAATTAATTCTGTACCAATACCTACCATTTCACAAACTGTTCTAAAACTCAGTATTCGGCTTAAAAATAATTTAAAAACTGGTTCTCAGGCAATGGCTTTTTAAAATATAGAGTGGGCGGGTGTTTAATTTTGTTGGTTTGTTTAAACTAGTATGTAACCAAATAAACAGTTATGTACAATCAACCTGGGAAGGGGCCTCCCTACATAAATGTAATCCTTGATGAGTAAAATACTGGAATACAGTGTATGACTACCGTTGGACTACCAGTAAGAGCATAAGACACACATACAATGAGCTTTGATTCTATTTCACAATGCAAAAATGTTAACGAGATCACACAACACCGGAAGAAATCTGTACTGAAGTACGCAAATAAGTCCTGTTATTACACTATCTGGCTATAAAAGTGTTCATTGTGTATCTGGACTTACGCTGTCATCCATTATATTACTTTTCTCTAAGATTACATTCAATTTTGTTTACATTAATTTCGGAGAAATCATCAGCAACTGATCAGCAAATCCCATCAACTCACCATGAACTCGCCTTGAAAGGAACATTAGTTGTTAGCGATAGAAAGTCTTCATATCAATTTTCTTTTCAGTTATGATACTGGGCATGACAATAAATGTTTTTTAAACTAAATCACCCATAGATCGTAGGAAATATGTAAACAGCTGATCGCTATTTCCGGCTTTTTTTACAAGACAAATACACTTTATCTTATTCTCTGCGTATGAAACATTGCCCGCCATACAGTACACAAATACCATTGAATCTGTAAATCATCATGTTTTATTAAAAAATCCATGTTGTTTTTAAGTATTGAAGCATTTCACTGCCGGGGTCATGTGTGTTCAAGACGCGGAATATTTAAGGATTTCTTCTTTTTTTTTAAATTTAAATAAAAAGGAAATGTGCAGCAGACTTTGTGATGATGCAGCGGTGCCTGAGAACCAAGAATATTTTGTTTTTTTAAGTCTTACAAAGGTCTATAAAATGGCATGCAGTGATTTTAGACTTTATAGTAAAATTTTTTACAAACCTGTAGAGGTTATGAATTCTCTAATGAAATCCTCCTTGGGGCACTTATTGCATTTTCCAGGCTACAGAAAATCTACATGACATGTTGTAACTATTTTGTTCCTAATAAAATTTTACCACACTAAAAAACAACATTTTTTTGTGTATGATGTACGACCACCCAAACAGGGCCTCTCCCTACTTTGGCGCCAAACGCCAAGGGAAGCAACTCACACCCAATTCACTTTCCATATGTCATCCGTCAATCCGCCTGGAAAATGCAATAAGTGCCCCAAGGAGGATTTAATCAGAAAGAGAATTCAGAATTCAGTCTGGTTATGTTTTGATGTCTTTAAAGTACAATATTTACTTTTTTTGACATTACATCAAGTGATTTTTTTAAGTATGTCAGCTAAACTTTTACTTTGTTGTCTTAAAAACCAGAATACAATGAACATGTTACACATTGTTAAAGGATTATTGCAAATTTAAATGGGATACATATCAGGACAAGTAAAACATAAACAGTGTGATCATGTTTAAAGTTTCCACTTAGAAATGTCTCTCTTCACAAAACACTTTAATTATGGCATGAATTTGTTACAATATAACAAAATACCTGACATGTAGCTCACCAAGATATCAATGTCAATCGTTTAGTAACAAAGACAGACACTTCACAAAAGTTTCTGTCAGCAATGATATTCAAATATTTCCTTAGCAAATAATGAGGACTGAGAACAAACACTGAAATCCTTATGCCTGTTATGATTTAAACAAAATAGGAAGACATCATCAGAAAAACATACATGCTAAAGTTCATCTCCCTCAGTCAGGCCATTTCAGAAGTTTACAGGGCCAAATATGTATTTGGAGAAAATTTAAGAGCATGGTCAAAACACAAAGGAGAAAACAAGGTCAAAACTTTAAAAACTGCAAAAATCAGAACATATAAGTCCGCCCCTCTTGTAAATTAACACAAGCCAAATTTCTTTATATTTTGAACCAAAATGGACAAATAAAAGCCATAAATAGGTTTCACATTGCAACCTCTTGAACAGATTGTGGAGTCATCAAATTTCAGGTTCATTGGTGCAGTGGTATAAGAAGCTGTTTATGATGGATGATGGACAACACATGATGCATGCAAGACAAACAGGCTATCACCTGACTGTCAGTAAGGTGAGCTAAAACTGTGCTGACAACTGTGCCACCATGAACGTATTTAACCAACAACTTGTGCAGGCCAGGTGCTGAGTCAAAAAGCTTTCATTGAACTGCATCTCAATTAAGGATGACAACTGATCCAGCCCTGTGTTCTACTTACACAGTGAGTCTGGAATCAAAACAGCCTATTGAATGTGGACCGTAGTATATATTTCTCATGTCTTACCTGAAACGAGCTTGTATTTCCCTGTCAGGAAGCATTGTGAACATTTAAATTTCCTTAAACTAAGCAAGAAAACATTTTGTTCGTTTGTTGTTTAACGCCACACTCAACAATGTTCCAGCTATATGACGGCGGTCTGTCAATAATCGAGTCTGGACCAGACGATCCATTGATTGCCATCATGAGCATCGATCTACACAATTGGGATACGATGACATGCATCAACTAAGTCAGCGAGCCTGACCCCCCGATCCCGTTAGTCACCTCTTACGAAATCATTGCCAACACAGGATAAGTCCTATATTTTCCATTATGCTTACCGGTACCTGTATTAATAATGCTGATGATCATCATTGCATGTATCAACCAGTAGACCATCAAGACTTCATGGATAGGTATTTGTAACTTCACTGCTATACATGTAAGGCTAAAAAAAATAATAGTCTTGGTTCTCAGGCACCGCCCGCATTATAGTAAAGTTCACCGCATGTTCTGCTTTTATTTCCATTTTATAAAAAAAATAAAAAATATTCCAAGTCCGACGGTGGTCAAATACTGTATTCCAGTATTTTACTCATCAAGGAATACATTTATGTAGGGAGGCCCTTTTCCAGGTTGATTGTACAAAGTTGTTTATTGGTTACATACTAGTTGAACACACACCCAAAAAAAGACACCACCTGCCCGCAGTATATTTTCAAAAACCATTGCCTGAGAACCAATTCTTTTATTTTCTTAAGCCTAATCGTAGGCATGTTGAAGATACAGAAACAGGCCTTGTTTAATTGACCACAGCTCTCTTTAATGGCTATACCTTTGTGGTATGAGAAACTGTCTTCAAAAATAGCTCATGCCTCTTTTTTTATCTAACTCCCGAGTCACCTTAGGCCAAATGCAATAAGTTGAACAACATCCATAATTATGCTTATCCTCTGGGTATCATTCCCACTGACTCGTCTTCAATCATAAGAAAGCCAACTAGAGTTGATCAAAACAAAGCGTTATGTCACAGATTCCACACAGCCAATCACAACTGAGCTTCCACTCACCTTCTGGCCAGCCTTAATGAACTGGGAGAACCAGAGTCTCACTGCTTGGTCATTGCCCAGCAACAAACAGCTGACGAAGGAGACAAGTTCCTCCTCTGAGTGAGACACTTCCGCTACTTGCAATGTTAAAGCTATTGCTAAGCCAGGCATCGTACAGTGTTGGATCTAGAAAACAAGACACTGCATTAGGGTTTTACTCAAGAAATGTCTCGTGAGTTTCCCCTCAAACAAGTTTTCAGTCATGTCACTGCGCGCAAGCTTGATGTGGGAGGAAAGCCTGAGGTGATGCAGGTCACAGACGTTTTACTTAGGCAAAACCCATGAGAACAGATCTGCTGCTGACAAATCTAGAAACATTATCAGGTCAAACTGGGATTCCAACCCATGATTATGGGTTGCCCGAAGGCAGCAACTCTGCACAGAGGATTACAGCTCCTTCGACAGTCCTGTGTGCCCCCAATACAACACTGGCTGGTCCATCAGCACTTACACACATCCTCCTGACATTGAGAGCCTCCTTGGGGTTGATGGTGCACAACATCCTCAGCATCTCCAGCCTCTGTCTGCCTCCCAGCGTCTCCTCGTCCACACGCTCCCCCCGCGACACCAGGCTGCTACACACTGAAACACATGTTCTGTTACATTGCATCTGGAACACTGTGCCAGACAGCATGACTCTCTGGTTGGTTGCTTTGTTGTTTAATGCTGCACTACTCCAGTCATATGACGGCGGTCTGTAAATATTCGAGTCTGGACCAGACAATCCAGTGATTGATATCATGAGCATCGATCCACGCATTGGGATCGATGACATGCATCAAGCAAGTCACTGAGCCTCATCACCCGATCCCGTTAGTCGCCTCTATTCTACCCCGGATCTTCACGGACTCTCTGGTGCAAGACCTAACTCAATAAACTTGGGAACAATGTTTGTTTCCTTCTGTGTTATAAACACCTTACAAATCAGACATATAACAGAAATATACAATCAATAGTTCCAAACTTCATGGGCAAGAGTGCGTAATTATCATCTAAAGTTTGATAACTTACTAGCAAATTGTACCTAGTATCTGTAGATTGACCGTAAGATCAGACCAAAATTGTTGTGTCTGTTTAATGTATCAGAAAGTGCCAAAGTGATGCAGATTGTAGTCGTTTTCCATGTTACTGGAACCAACAAGCATGGAGTGAATCTGGTATTGAAGCCCAAGACAAGCATATCCTGGCAAGACTGACTGACACAACTCTGCCTATTGCTACTCCCTGGATATAAGGTAGCCTGTGGCTGTTCGGGTGTTTAGAGTTAACAAACCAGATCTTTCACTCCAATACAATGCCTCCCTGCACGAAGAATTAATAAGACCTGTTTTATTATAATATAGACCTTGATCATCAATCAGATCGTCTTGACTGGGCACCGCCATTTTTTTTGAGGCAAATACAAGTGATATGAGAGGTGGAATCTGATTGGTCATAGAAGGGACATAACTCGAAATAGACATTGCATGGGCTACAATCGAGCCAGAAATTCCAGCCTAGTTCGGCAAGGGTGGAAACTGGTCTTATACAGTCCCCTGCTTCGGGAAGATGGATGCACCCTTCTATGGAGGGAGATTATTGTATTGGAGTAAAAATCTGATTTGAGACTGTAAGTCCTAGTACCTGTCATAAAGCACTGTGGAGAATTGGACACCAGCTGACACAGCAACCAGGCTCCGTTCTTCACACACAGCAGAGCCTCCGCTAGCTCTGTCATTGGTAGGAGGTTCGGCAACTCTACAAACATTACAGCTCATACATTATTACAGCTCATACATTATTACAGCTCATACTTTAAGCTAAGGTGCGGGGAAATGGGGTTTTAATGTTGTGTTCAACATTATTGCGCTTATATAGCACATTATACTGACTCCAAGCCAACCAGTTTCATCTCCTTAATGCCAATCTCCAGGCAGGAAAACTAGGAGTACCACCTTTTGATGTTTGTTGGTACTGGCCAGGAGATCCAACCACTGACCTTCCTCTCACCAGGCAGACACTCTGTCCACAAGACCATGGAGGCCACCTCATACATGGAGGATACAGAATAGTGAATGACAGGGTGATGCTGCTTATCACGCATCAGCAGTATTTCAGCTATTGACAGCACTTCTAGAAATATGACCAGGTATTATTGTTCATATCATTTACAAAGAAATGCCACATCTATAATAGGAATAGCTTGCAAGGCAGTAATAAATGGATTATCTCATGCAGAGCATATAATAATGTACTTTGCAGAGTAAAAATATCATTTATACTTTTACATACACATGAGTCAGGATAAGATAAAATATGTATTTTTTAAAGTTGGACTTTCACTAACTTTTATTATTGGATAGAAACAAATTGTGTGAGGCAGAAAAAAGTCAAAATATTTTTATTTATTTTGCTGCATACTGCAATGCAGTTGTTTCGTTTAAGTGCATCCTAGTGGAGTCATAATTCTTGGCATGCTTTTAGCAAGAAAGGTGAATAATACAAGGTGAAAACCAACTTAATTTCTTGTGTTATGGATTGCCTTAGCCAATATGCAAGCATTGTTTCAAACAAATGCAGTACCCTAATTGTTTTATATTTGCAATATTTACAACTAGACAAGAGACTGTGTGTATGTAAAGTGAGTTTGGTATATTGCAGGCACTCTGTACTCACCAGCTTGAGCTATACAGAGGACATCGCACACCTCCTCCAGGTATACCTCACTCTCAAACAACTCACTCTGCTTCTGGTAGTTACCTCCCTTTGACTGTTCTTTTATCTGTAGACAGGGAGCATGCAACTCTTAACGATCAGTCTGAGAAGCTGAGTTAAGCTTTTGTCTTTTTGAATATAATGCTGTCACTTCTGCTGTGCCTTCATCTATATTCTTATACATAAGTACATTTAATGACCATTGATGACAAGACTGTATTGATGATCAACCTCTTTACAACAATTATAGCAACATTTCGGAGTAGACTCTAACACTGTTATCAAGCAAATGATGTGTAAAATAAGAATCTACACTGAAACATATCTAAAACCCCAAAGTTTACACGACTCCACAACAATGCCAGCCCTCTATACATCATTTTTACATGCCAATGAATTTTACAGTTTGTACTTTTATATTTCTATTGGCCTAAAAAAAACAGGGACGATTCACCTATCTGAAAATGACCAATACAAATGTATTCTTTGAAACTGACAAAACAAATAAGGTTGTCTAGTTACCATACTTCTTTTTGTATTTTCTGAAATATGTTCTGTAATTCTGTAATTTTGATGGTCAAGGAGATTCAAAGCCTTTCATTGTAGGGGTCCCAGGTTGAAAAATGGGGGTAACAGGGAAATGTGAGCACTTGAAAACAGTACTCTACCATAAGTGACTTAAGACTGCTCATGTTTAGAGTCTGTTGGTTGCAAAGGAACATGGACTTTCCCAGGTGCTAGTGCTAGAGCTAGGTCACAAAGCATTCAACTGTGTATATTGTACTTTTTAAATGATTACATCAGAAATACATTGTAAGTTGTACCAAACTAAATAGCAGCATCATTCTTAGATGAAAATATAAAGATTAATAATATTTTTCATGAAATCACTAATATTCTCTGTCAAAATGGATCATTCTGCATTTTTTTTGTGTATCTGTTTTCAATAATTTTAATAATTCTCATGATTCTAGGAGGCAGGATTTAAGATCCAGTAAAACCCTGTGCTTAATATCATGCCATATGTCACAATTGTCAGACTATGTGCACTGGGCTGGTGATCTTCAAACATGGCTAGAAGATTCTTCCCACCACACATATTGGCTGGTGTCAAGCGTCAAGCCTGGATTCCCCTTCTGTCTTGTTTTTAGTAAACATCCACTTTCTAAATGGCGGTAAACTTGCTCAAAGATTTTTATACATCTCTATCAATCTATGACTTAAGCTACTGGTCTAAAATTACAATCTAGTCATCTTCTTTTCTTTGTCCGTGTGTGCTCAGCTAAGAATAATCCACATATAAACATAAACTTGGACAGAAAATGTTGCAAAATAATAAGTTTAAGCTTGTCGACATTAATGATTAACATTTTGGATACAGACAGACCACTGCTGACACATATCCCACTTTTTGTGAATTGATAAACAATATGGGTCTCGTACTCTATGGAAATGCATTTTTCACACAAACCTCAGTTTTTAAACAGCTAAATTTTGTTTACCTCGGACATGATGTAAAGAAGTTCACTCAGTAACAGTCGGATTCGTCGAGGTGCATCACTCCGTTCAAACTCCAGCGCAAGCCCATGATGCAGCTGTGACACAAGAACACTGTCACCTTGGTTCCCTCCCAGTTTAGCTCTGAAAGGAACAAAGATTTCAACACTTAGCTTTGAAATGCACACTAGCGGGCTATCCAAAAATACGTAATTGTGCTGGTATAAATAAAAATCCAATGATGGTAGTCCTCACGGACCAGTAGCATTTTAGGACCATGATTGTGAACCACTGACACCATTGTTCATATCCAACTAGTCCATAGCTATTTAATTGTTTGTTTCCTTGCTGTTTAACATGGCACTTAGCAATAGCCAAGCTATATAACGGCAGTCAGTACATAATTGAAACAGGACCAACAATCCAGTGATTGACATCACGAGCATTGATCCACGCAATTAGGATATGATGACATGCATCAACCAAGTCAGCCTGACCACCTGATTCCATTAGTCACCTCTTACAACAAGCATGGGTTGCTGAAGAACTATTCTAACACGGACCTTCACAGGTCAAGTTATGTAGAAAAAAATGCGACATCAATGTCTCAAACTACCAGACTAGTGATCATGGTTATGCCTGCTTCTGAAACAGTTCTCAAGGCTTCCATTTTGCTACATAGTAGGACAGAAAACAATTGACAGAAAATGTAAACATAGCGAACATATCTGTTTCACCTTAGCAGGACTACGGGTAGCTACAAACTCTAGGGCTACCTGAAATGAGGTCCACACTAGTCCTCTGGACTAGTCTTAAAAAAAAATCTGAAAAAAAATAAGGCTGTGCAGAACGTAAATACACAAAGGATATGTACATGTATGTGAAATAACATGAATTACGAGTTAACAGAAACATCATCATGATCATTATCATTATATTAAGGATGATCAAACTTGGAAGATGGGATCCATGTCGGCTCATTTCTCGTGAGGCCCCAAAACATAATAGCCATTTTTCGGGTAACACTGCCTTGAAAAAAAGGGGGTTGATTGGTTGGATAATATTTTTGTTGATTTATTTATTTTTTTAAATTTAATTATATACTTCCCTGTCAAATAAGTGTTTACAAACTAGTGTTTCACTGTTGTAGGTAACCTATATCATGTCATAGTAACTAGAGGATAAAAACATAAACATTCAACAACTGCAGCTGCCAGTTGATGTTACAAATAATAAAGGTTGAAGTCCAATGCCCAACTGCTACATTCTGGGAGCAACAAAAAACAATTGTGATTTTGAGTTTCATTATTAAATGGATAAACTTTATTTTCAGCAATCCTCTCAAATTAAACTTCACATTATGATATGACTGAAGTATCAAATGTTAACAGCAACAGAATTAAAGAACAATCTGTTTCAGCCAAGGCGATTGATGTTAAAGTTAACACTGTTTAATACCACTGAAAGCAATTTCAACACACTGGATGAAGAAATAATGAGTTTGACTCAATTTGAATAGACTTAAATGACATACATTATGCTCTCAAATGACTAATAAAATTGAAAACAAGAGAATAGTTCAAAATTGCACTTGAGAATATTGGTGTCAAGAGTCTTAAATAAATAATAGATTAAGCAGAGAAACGATAAATTGTGATGAACAGGCATGTGCCATGGGGGACAAGATTTTTTAATGGAAAACATATTTGAGGCCTTATGTGGAATTTTAATAACTCTGACTTTGTTGAAGTCGGTAGTGTCACCAACGGAAATTTCCTACTTCATTCTGAATGTCAAAAACAAGTTTCCACGCAACTTTTTACACATGCAATAAAATCTTTTGGGTTGCAAGTCAAATGATGGGTTGGGTTATCTGATACACAACTATTTTAGGGGTAGGGGGGCCATAGTTAAACACAATGCACTGGCTCTGATTTGTATCATCAGAGGAAGTAATTTAACGGGTAATTTTCATATCTAAGTCTTACATTGCATTAATAAAAAAAATTAAATAATCAGCGGATAATCAACAGTTCCCTCTTGTATTACTGTATCGTCCAGTACCCTATTTTCAAATGTCACCTATTTATCTAATATCAGCAATTCCACATTGGCGGTTCGAAAATTGGGTACATCAGGATATATAGAGCAAGACTAATGACTGGGTCATGGCAACGACTATCCATTATGTCCATAGGGATGACAATATACTGGTTTTGTAGGATTATCAATTTTGACACTGAATGTAGTCATCAAGTATTTAGGAAGTCATACCTGTGCAAATAAATCTAATACTTATGCACTGGTCAATACTGTTACCTAACATCCATCCATCCATCATTATTATCATTGCTTGTTTACAGTCTGCGACTTTATAGCCACAAGTCCGAAGCTCGAGTTTGGTAAACTTCTGTTTATTCAAGTTCTGTCACCCAATAAATGCCATAACAGAATAGTCTACTCAAAATGATACCAAGAGCCAAGTTCAAACTAGTGGACTTAAATTAAAAAGGTTTTGGAACAGACGTCTAAAGTTACCTAATGGTTGTCATCCTTTTAAAGAACATGTATGAAGTTTGAAGCTTGAAAACAGAAACATGGATTAACCCCAATATGCTGTGTGAGCCGCAGATGATTGAGATTGCGCCAGACACTTAATAGTGGGGTAAATTACAGCTGATGTGTGAGGGGGTGAGACAGTGAAGTCGTAAAACAGTAAAATAAGTAAAATGCCTGTAACCTCAATTGTTGTTCCTTTTTCACGTCTTGTTCTAATGCATGAAAATCGATGGATAACAGAGCGACGATGCTGTTCACAACGTCAAGACCTGACAGTATTTTCAAGACATCCTTCCTTGCTTTCGTCCAACTATCGCTTGTTTCCAAAGGGGAGCACAACGCCATACGAACAAGGCTGACGAGCACCGGTCGAATGTCGGATTCGCTACATTCGCTTAGAGAGTCTATGTCTACACTTTGCATTGCCTGAAACACGGCGCATTTCACTGGTGAACGGTGTTTCTTTCTACCACTCATAATTGTCTTCAAATCGTTCATATAATTAAAAGTTTTAAAACCAATCTACATTGTGTCTTGCCGTTTCCGCGGTCGAGTCAGTATACGTCCCTTTCCCAGACCAGGCCACAGCGCTACGTTTATCGAGTGGTATACATCTTGCAAGGGACGCGACTCTTCCCATTAATTACTTGCGCTCAGTGCTACTGTCATGGCGGATCTGTTTACGCATTTGTTTACTGTCGAAGGTCGGCTTGTTGTTATATTAACGTACAGATCGCTAACTATAACTGCCAGGAAGTCTCTTAGGTGGGTTATGGTCGGTTTTATTGTGGTTGTGTCAACAGTGCGAATGCAAAATTTGTTTGCCACCAAGTATGATTAAAATCGATATGGCTCAAGACATATCTTTTAGCATCTTATGTTATCCACGCGTGCCTCTTAGATCCTTTGGGTTAGTTATGTCTGATTTGTTTGTTTGTTGTTGTTTAACGAAGCACTCACCAATATTTCAACTCAACTAAATGACGGCGGTCTGTAAATAATCGAGTTTGCTCATGTATTGTCATTTTAGCCATTAATAATAAGCGGCACTGCTTTTCAACCAAACCTTGTGAAATCATTTTATACCACCCGTTATTATTTTTTGTGTATCATGCACAATGTTAGACAAAAGGATGTGTTGAAAGTCTCTATGTTCTAACACTCATATGTTGAGTTTGTGTTCTGTTTCCAAAATAGAAAACACTACCATTTAACACTGCAAATTAGGGCTGGGACGGGTGACTCGGGTACTCGAGTCTTGTGGGCCCTGAATAGGACCCGGGTACCCACAGGACTACCCAGACCCGTGGTTGGTCACGTTATATTTTGTTTAAAGACAAAAACATACTATAGCTCAATGGTTACAATACAAGTCGCTAATGTTAAGATTATTTTCTGACGATGCACTCATTCCTTTTGACTTGTAAATGTTTGAGTAAAAATAAAGCTTCAGTCAACTTCAGTGTATGCATGATCTGATTGTTTGATATATGTATCTGAATAGCTTTAGCCAGGGCTGCGGTAAAACAATTACCAATCTGACATTTTGTTCCCTACTCTTGACACTTACAGTGGGTACCCGGGTAATAGGGGATCGGGTAACCGGGTAGTAAATTTGAACTCGTCCCAGCCCTACTGTAAATATATCACAAAATAAATGCTTCAATAACTGCAAACTGTGAAAAGTTTTATTGTGGTATGGTACTTAGTTTTAAGTCTTAATTTCATTCCATCTGTGCTTTAAACTTAAATTTACAAATAAAGCGTGTGTGACAGTGTTAATGCACTTTTACATTTCCCAATACAAGGAATAAAATCTGGTATTCAAGTTTCAGTGAATGTTACTTTTGTTAGAAATACAGTCAAAATCAATTGGGTTTCTGTCACTTGCAGAACTACAACAATGGATCATCTCAAGCATGACAAATATTACAGTACATCCTTAATATCAGAACTCAGCTATTTATCATATCTAGCTTGTGACAATTTTAACATGATATTCTCGTTTCACATTTGTCAACTGAATAATGTGTTATAGTTCACAAGAAAATTAAGTTAGCCAGTCAGGCAACCTTAATGTTATTTCCATGAGCCCTGCTTGAAATTAATGGTTTCTTAACCATAAAAGGTCGGGGATTTAATCTTTCCGAGGACATTTTCTAGTGTGACTTATAACTTGAAAACTACAGCATAGATTCTTCTCAAACTTTGTGTATTAATAGGACAGGTGCTGTGTGAGGTTTGATTTCAATTTTTGGATTTTCTGAAAAAATACAGCTGTTTTTCATTGGGTTACTTATATTTTTTCTACTTAAACATTTTAAGCACTGCATGCATTCTTTTGAAATTTAGGGAACAGTTTCCATACTAAAATAGAGGAGGTGCAGTGCACAGTTTGATAAGTGGAATTTCTCAGAAAATATACCGGTATCTTGTTTCATGTTTTCAACTTAGAAATATTTTTATACCCCTGACCTAAAAGCTTCAAAAGGGCAGCGCATCATATTTAGGACATAAACATACTGTGTTTTCAATGTAGAGCTAGGTTACCTGTAGATTTAACCATGCTAAATTGAATTTGGAACCAAAAGCGCAGCATGAGGTTTCAAATATTAAATCTCCATTCTACCACGACTAAATAAAATGCCAACTCTTTTGTAATACAAAAATATATTGAGTGAAGTGGCATGGGTTGAGTCCAGTATTTTGAGTGGGTTGTTGATCTGAATTTACGGAATCCCTGACAACAGCCTGTAAACACAATATGGTGCTCTATATGTCCAGCAGTTCCTTTACACTGTAATACTTCACACAAACTTATCATACCCGTGAAGACCCGGGGTAGATTAGGTCTTCAGCAACCTATTCTTGTCATTGATATCATGAGCATCAATCCACACAATTGGGATCGATGACATGCTTCAACCAAGTCAGCGATCCCGACCACCCGATCCCATTAGTCGCCTCTTATGACACGCATAGTCGCCTTTTAGGGCAAGAATGGGTTGCCTAAGACCTATTCTACACTGGATCTTCACGGGTCAACTGTTATGATGTCATATTGCTCATTGTGATGCCAAACACATCCAACGTCGTACAAAAGTGCCAAATAGCAAGCTCTCTGTTGACCTTAAAGCTTAAAATACATTCTCTTTGCGGATTACTGTCATGTTCTCTGCATGAAAATATTTGCCACACATCCTTTGAAACATCGTACAATCGCATCGTTTATGACTCCTACTAGAACGTCTACAAATTATTATATAAAAGAAACATCGCTGTGTGTTTTTTCCAATATCAATTAAACAGGAGACGAACACTGGTCGCGGAAAGGGACATCTACAGACTTTTCACATTGCTTGCATATAGCGCGTGGGTAAATAGTGGTCACTACCTCCAAAGCTGTCGTAATATATATATGTTATTTTTACTATGCATGACCCCTACAGGCCACTCTACAGATTATTATATAACAAAAACATCCCTGTGTGTTTTCCAATATCAATTAAACAGGAAACGAACACTGGTCGCGGAAGGGGCCATCTACAGACTTTTCATATTGCTTGGATAATGCGTGTGGGTGAATAGTGGTCACTACCTCCAAAGCTGTCGTAATATATATATGTTATTTTAAATATGTATGACTCCTACTGGTCACTCTACACATTATTATATATAAAAAAACCATCCATGTGTGTTTTCCAATATCAATTAAACAGGAGACGAACACTGGTCGCGGAAAGGGACAACTACAGACCTTTCACATTGCTTGTCTATTGAGTGTAGGAAGTGAACGTCGCTACCTCCACAACTGTTGTAATATATTTATTATTTTGACTATGTATGACTCCTACTGGTCATTCTACACATTATTATATCAAAGAAACATCCCTGTGTGTTTTCCAATATCAATTAAACAGAAGACGAACACTGTTCGCGGAAAGGGACAACTACAGACTTTTCATATTGCTTGTATGTAGCGCGTGGGTAAAAAATCGTCGCTACCTCCACAACTGTTGAAATATAATGATTATTTTTACTATTTATGACTCCTACTGGTCAGTATACACATTATTATAAAAAAGAACCATCGCTGTGTGTTTTCCAATATCAATTAAACCGGAGACGAACACTGGTCGCGGAAAGGGACAACTACAGACTTTTCATATTGATTGGATATGGCGCGTGGGTAAATAGTGGTCACTACGTCCACAGCTGTTGTAATATATTTATTATTTTTACTATGTATAACTCCTACTGGACCGTCTACACATTCTATATAAAAGAAACATCCCTGTGTGTTTTCCAATATCAATTAAACGGGAGACGAACATTGGTCGCGGAAAGGGACAACTGCAGACTTTTCACATTGCTTGTCTATTCAGTGTAGGAAATAATCGTCGCTACCTCCACAACTGTTGCAATATTTTTATTATTTTTACTATGTATGACTCCTACTGGACCGTCTACACATTATTATGTAAAAGAAACATCCCTGTGTGTTTTCCAATATCAATTAAACAGGAGACGAACACTGGTCGCGGAAAGGGACAACTACAGACTTTTCACATTGCTTGTCTATTGAGTGTAGGAAGTAATCGTCACTACCTCCACAGCTGTTGTAATATATTTATTATTTTTACTATGTATGACTCCTACTTGTCACTCTACACATTATTATATCAAAGAAACATCCATGTGTGTTTTCCAATATCAATTAAACCGGAGACGAACACTGGTCGCGGAAAGGGACCACTACAGACTTTTCATATTGCTTGCTTATAGCATGTGGGTAAATAGTGGTCACTACCTCTACAACTGTTGAAACATAATGATATGACTCCTACTGGACCGTCTACACATTATTATATAAAAGAAAGATCCCTGTGTGTTTTCACTTATCAATTAAACAGGAGACGAACACTGGTCGCGGAAAGGGACAACTACAGACTTTTCATATTGATTGGATATGGAGCGTGGGTAAATAGTGGTCACTACGTCCACAGCTGTTGTAATATATTTATTATTTTTACTATGTATGACTCCTACTGGACCGTCTACACATTATTATGTAAAAGAAACATCCCTGTGTGTTTTCCAATATCAATTAAACAGGAGACGAACACTGGTCGCGGAAAGGGACAACTGCAGACTTTTCACATTGCTTGTCTATTCAGTGTAGGAAATAATCGTCGCTACCTCCACAACTGTTGTAATATTTTTATTATTTTTACTATGTATGACTCCTACTGGACCGTCTACACATTATTATGTAAAAGAAACATCCCTGTGTGTTTTCCAATATCAATTAAACAGGAGACGAACACTGGTCGCGGAAAGGGACAACTACAGACTTTTCACATTGCTTGTCTATTGAGTGTAGGAAGTAATCGTCACTACCTCCACAACTGTTGTAATATATTTATTATTTTTACTATGTATGACTCCTACTGGACCGTCTACACATTATTATATCAAAGAAACATCCATGTGTGTTTTCCAATATCAATTAAACGGGAGACGAACAGTGGTCGCGGAAAGGGACAACTACAGACTTTTCATATTGC